GCATTGAGCGAGAAAAGATTATGTGTGATGTCCTGCCTTCATGTTTCATATAGTAAATTTGTCAGCTTCGTTGCTTCAAGTCAGCAAGGTTTTGTGGCAAACAGAACAGATTCATGGTCTTTGGCGGCACAAACTCGGCAGAGTCTCAGTCCCAACTTGGACCCAGGTCAGTCCAACTTGCAAGAATCCCATTGAAACACTTTGTGTATAATTCATATCACATGCAGTTCGGTCCAAGGGTTTAAGTTTAGTTTAAAATATGAGGCCGTACCCCGCTGGCCGTACGGCTGGCACCGCGAAAACCCCCAGGAGCGGCTGCACCGCCTGGCCAAGCCGGTAAGGCGGAAGACACAGGCTGAAGACCGCTTTTGATGTGTCTTTATGTGTTTTTTAGATCTAAGGAGCTGTAGGCGACAAAGGCCCGGTAGGCTGGTCAAGTGGTGGAGCTGAGCTGGAAGACAAGTGAATTGAAAAAGCTAAGAGGATCAGATTCATCAGATTCTCAGAATGCGGAAATCCTGGTTGTTGACAGAATGGCACTGGCTGAGCTACATCAGAAAGATGTGGAGTCAAATAACACTCGTCGCAAAAGAATCAATGGGCAGGGCATGGGTATCAAGAAATATTATCAGGATCAAACACAAATTACTATCAGGATCAATAACAAGTATCAGGATCAAACACAATTTGGAAGGAAGGAAGGAAGGAGGGAAGGTAGGTAGGTAGGTTTGGTGGCAGTCTTTCTGTGAACCGCTGTGAAAAGCCCTGGGCAAGTTTTAGGACGTTGCACACTCTTTCAATTCTGGGTTTGCACGATTTTGTTTGATTTTCCGGGTATATATATATATATAACATGCATTATATACTATTATATACTTGTTTTTGGATCCTGACAATCATCGATTTTTGATCCTCTTACCATCTGATTTGCGCCACTCATGGACTATGGAATGACACCGGAGTGCACAAGATTCGACTAAGTCAGAAACGATTTCTTTCGCATCTTTGCATGATGCGTTGGATTTGCCTCCGCTGCAACCCGACAGGAAGCCAGCTTTGAGCTGACGCTGGTGCATCCCAACAGGCGGAAAGGGGAGAAGTGGAACCGAGTCGAAGGAACGAGCAATGAATTTGGAAGCAGATTCTGTTTTGTTCCAAATTTCGACGACATTGCAGTATTTTCGATCACTCAACATTGCTCACTTTCTTCAAGAGTACAGTAATCAGTAACTGTATATATACACCATTAATGGACTGTTGTGAGAGAGAGTTCCACGACTGCCTGCCACGATTCTGCACAAGATCCACACTGGTGCATGGATTTCTCACCAGGACCTTTGATACGACCCATCTCGTTGAGTTGGCGGCGCCCAAGCAGGACAGAGACCTAGCAGTTTGGTCCGAGCAGTTTGGTTTACACCTGACATTTCGGTAGGAAGCCTGTGACGGGAAGGAAGCAAATCAGGAGTGAGCATTGTTTTCCAACAAGCGAGCTCGAACGAATGATGGTTTGAAGATGCGGATCTCTTCTTGTGGAAAGACAGAACAGTCAAGGGTTTTCTGTGTCTCGATATGTACGATCTCTTGTATGGCTGAGCTATGGCTCTTTGGTCGTGACTTCATGACGACTTCGCGAGAGGAAAAGAAGCCAGTCCCATTGGCCGCGGACACTCAGAGTGTTTTTAGCTTTGAGGAGAACGCCGGACGAAGCGGGTGGGATGTCCGACCTATGCATTGTTGCTTGTTGTTAGAGGTGACACGGGCAATTCTTGTACAAAGGATTGGAGCAGGATCCAGCCGATAGACACCATAGAATCGGGGTATAAAAGTGGGTGGAAGTTCTTGGAGTCCTGGAGGTTCTCAGAAGTTTGCCTTGCAAAAGGAGCCAAAAGGAGCCAACAACATACAATACACAAAGATGACTAGGAAGCAAGGACAAGTGACCAAGATGCTTGAATATCCGCATCCATCGTAATTCAAGCTGAATGCCGATTTGGCAGCAGAAGAATCTACTCATCATTTCAGAATTATCCAGAGATTGGCCAACCCATTCACATCAAACACGTGCCGACAAACAATTGCAATGCAACTAGGACATCTGTGAATAGTACACATCCTGACAACATGATTGACAAAGGTCGCTTAAAACGTATTTTTGGGGTTCTTCAAACGGCTTCTTACTCTTCGAACGGTTTCTCCATCGCTTTTCGTCCCCCAAGCTGTCCACACGAGGCTCCGCAGCTCCGGCGGCCCTTAAACCTGATCCGACTCAAAGAGCTTGCAGAACCGCAGGCCGTGGGGGGGCGTATGGGGCCGTGGGGGCAGTGCGGGCTGGCCGGGGCTGGGAAGCTCTCACGTCCGGGTGCAAGAGGCGTTTAGGGTTCGTTGGCAATTCTAGGCCACTTTAAGCATGTTCAACCTGGAACACAATCTGCCGGTCTGCGAGCGTGGGACCGTCAGAGTTTCGATTCTTCATTTGCCCTCAGTTGCGGCGGCGACCAGAGAAGACCATTGAGATCGCCAGCAGGTAGGGGACCGAGGGAGGAAGACACATGACACTTGCTCTCTCATATAACTACATTGTTTTGGAATGGAGCTCTCGGACATGTCGTTGGAGCAGTGGGAAAAGGTTACAGCCACTTTTGCAAGTGGCCTTAATGAGACAGTTACTTTTGCTAGCGGCCACTTTTGCAGTGGAGAGCTTACAGGTTTGCAAGTTAGCCAAATGTGAAAAAGACTAAATCTGACAAACGCCGACAAAGATTCGGAGAGAAGACTTAGAATCTTGGGCGAGAACGGTCAATGTTTGTTAATCTCTTGGTCCGCAGGGTTAGCCCCGCCGCCTTCAAAGTCTGAGATGAGCGGAGCTAGCATCAGATTTCTGTTTTTCTAGGAGAAGCTTCTCTAATGGTACATGATCGGCATACTCTGAAGGTGTTTGGAAAGCATTGACTTGACAGATGTTACATCCACAGCATTTTTGTTTTTCTATGTAATTCCGGTAAGGCTCAGGAGAAGTGGAAGTGAAGTGCACTTTAGTTGTACGTCTCAGCACCTGAGTAGACTCAGGACCGTAAAATCAGGCATCTGAAAGGGTCCAGCACCTGGCCTGTGTACAGTGCTATCAGATGCTAAGTATTTTAGAGGCCCAGTCATGATCCTTAACATCCTGAACTGTGCTGTTTCGCTGGATCCTTCCAGACATGAAATGGCTGACATAGCCAGTTCAAATGCTCACCAAAGAAGTTGTGGGCGCACAGTTCTGCTTGGCCTTCTTCCTATGAGTCGATTTATCCACAGTTCTTTGGCAAGCACACCTACGACAGCTAATTTGATGTGTATACACTCAAACACCATGGGCAAGTACTTGAACACTTTGACAACGGAGATGAATTGGCGCAAACTGTTTGCATTGCGAGACATATATATATATATGTTATCTATTGTTATTTTTTTAAATACATACACAAAGATAGTCCGCTTCGCCCTCATCAATCCTTGAAGGGTGATTGTGCACTCTTGGAAGAGCCAGGAGCCTTGGCAGTTTTCTTCACCCTAGGTGTAGATACTGACCGAGAGCAAACGCTTGAAACAGTCTTGTGGCCCAGGTTAGCAGAATTTGGGAGAGCTTGCAAAGCCTATGGGAGTGGCTGCATCGAGTGATCGACTTTTGAGATAGATGACTCCATGACCCTCAAGAACCTAGACTTGAATCGGAATTAGTGAACCCCTGACTTCGTTTCGGGCACAACTTGGCCTTTCCCAAAGCCCTTTCGAATTTCACCTCGCTGATGCCCAAAGTCGCACGTTGCACGTTGCACGTTTCTGTCTCAAGACTTCCGTCCCCTTATGTAGTGGCGCCAAGCATGCGGTGCCTGGTGCCTGCAACTTGTTACAACTTGGAGGGGGAGAGGCATCAAAGACAAACACACCAATAGGAGTCAGGAAACATACAAAGCCGTGGACGGATGTGAAGCCACGAGGGAGCAGGAAGGAGAACGAGGCAATCAGACTGTGACGAAGAAAAGGCATTGAAAAAGGCAGAGCGGCACGGCGACAGCGACAGCTCCGAGGTCTTGGTGGCTCTGGCGCTCGGAGCTCCTGACTTGGCGGAGGAGGCCAAGAAAGCTTCGGAGGAGGCGTGGATGCGCAGCGCCTGCGCAGCGCCTGCGGAGCGATCGGACGCTACGAACGGGGCTCCTGGCCTTACTAGGAGCCATCGGACTCTACTAGGGCCTCTTGGCCATTTCAACATATTTTAACCGATGCGCTGAACCCCCACTTCCAACACTATTTCTGATCTCGGGCTGAAGAACTCACTCACCAAGGGGTTACATACTTTTTGCACTGAAAATAGCAACAGGCTTGCTCGGGCACCCCTTCCAATTCGTGGAGGCTTGGGAGCATGCAAAAGAGCTGAAGAAGTCCTCCAAAGATGCCGCTAAGATTGCAGACGAAGTGAAGGCTGGCCCGAGTGGTGAAAAGCCCGTCTAAACAGTGAAAGCCTAAAACCTGCCTTGATCCTGCGACAAAGGTAGGCGCCTTATGAAAGGCCCCCCGAAGAGGCGAAGGCTACGGTCTAACGGATACGGTTCTGGCAGCCGAATGACCACAGTCTTGGAACGTACCCAGTCACGAAGGGCGAACGTCTTCCAATGGAACGACACGAGCGAGACAGGTGCACGATGTGCAATTTCCGGCAACTTTCGAAACACCTAGCCCCCATGGTGCATTGTGCCTGGCAAGTCCTCTTCTCGCTATATAGCTTCTACTTGTACTTGTGTATCATTCAGGAGGGCGAAGGAGATTGACATGAATCTTCTTTTGCACGGGATGAGTTTTTGCATGGCTGTGGAGCATTCTGACTCTTTCGATCCCGACGCATGAAAAAGGCGGCGGGTGAAGGTGCCAAGGAGGCCGTGAAAAAAGCCAAGGAGTGGGATGCAAAGGCGAAACATGCGATATTTTTTGACGATACTCAACTGCAGCCTTGTGGGTGACGCCTCTGAGATGTTGCTGTTGGGCAGGAATTGGATGCCAAGATGTCGGCCTTGTATGAGTCCACGCGGCAAAGCACCGTGGCGGCTGCAACGGAGGCTGCCATGGCCTACTATGCGGAGGCACCGAACTGATGCTTCTTGTGTGTCACATCGAACACAGTTGAAGCCTTGCGATGAAAAGGGATGCTTCAATTACTGTACAGTACACATAGAAATGTGCCCGAGGAGGTCTTTCAACTAGTGTTGCAGCTAACAGCACTTCTTGCTCGAGAGCAGCACACCTTGCCGAATACTAGAAATGCCACGACAGCGCAGCTCGTACGTAGCAGTTCTGATATCCCCCCCGAACAGTTCTACGCTTAGGTGACAGTTCTGCCAAAGACACACTGTCTTGTCAAGGAGACAAGGTTTCCTTTTCTGGAATTCTTCGGGTCCTTGAAGTCGCTTGCTTGGATGTTGGCATGTGCAGGTGAAGGAGGCAGGTGCCCAGGCAGCTGCAGAGGTGCCAGAAATATCATCGGGATTCATCGGGGTCTTTAGAGCTTTGACAGAGATGGACACAGGCCGTGTTAGACTTTAGTGCCAGAACAGCCAAAAGTTCTCTACACTGTTCTGTCTGCAGACCGTGGTAGTTCAATCCTGCCTGAGACCGCAACCTGAGTTTGCTTCGATGTTGTACCGGCAGCAGGAGTTGTAGTAGCAGGAGGAGTATGAGTAGGAGTAGCAAGTACGAGTAGTCGTAGCCGTAGTCATAGTGGTGGTCATACGTAGTTGTAGCAGTCCTAGTTTCTGTTTCTATTTTCTGTTGGCGTTCTTTGATTTTCGCGCTGCAAGCTGCCCGAACCAAGCCCAGCAGGCAGCCTCTCCGGCACGCCGCGGGGCGGCAGCTGCGGCGCAGGAAGCGCAGGTGGCTGCAGCTGCCATCGATGCGGCCAGGGATCCAGGGGAGCCCGGAGGGATTTTGGGGAATCGAGAGAACAAGAAGGAACGACAGAGAAAGAGAGAGAACTCGCTCAGGGCCATGAATGGGCCAATCCAAGCTTGGTGGTCAGTGAGAGACACGGAAAGGTTGGCGAATCCATGTCTTTGCACGTTCTTCAGAAGCCGGGCGTACCAGGCAATTTGACAAGTTGAAACTGATGGCTGAAAGACTTGGCAGGGTTGAGGTTGAGGTTGTGCTTTTTTTTTTTCAGAGAGAGAGAGAGAGCAAGCAGGCCTGTGTCCCTGCCTTCTCTGTTCCTTCAATGAGACTCTCACCCTTCAGACACGGACCTCGAGCCGCCACTCAACGGGACCTCGAAGAGTTCATGTCAGCCACGTGTTTGCCACTCCCAGGCCATGCCATACCATGAGGCTCAGCTGAAGGCACAAAAGCGCGCAATGGAGTACCAGCAGCATGCCCAGGCACACTTATCGGGGCGATACAGTTGCCTTGACAAGCTGCCAAGAAAGAACTCAACTCAAGTTGATTCATCAAGTAGCTTTCTTTCGCTTCCCCACGCGACATGGCCATCATTTGCCAGAACCATGAGTTTAAGATGCGAATATCAATATGCTTGACAAATCTTTATACATCAGACTCTGGAGCCTATTATTGGGGCAAAGCAATTTGGTTTGCGTGACCAAATGCTAAGCCCTGAGCTTGCAGCGACCCTCCTCTCCCACAAACATGGGTGTTCAGTGACTTCGGCTTCGCCAAAGATGCTTTTCCTCCCAGACGGCTTTTGCGCCACAAGCGCCCAACTTCAGGCGATGAACACTGCAGGCCAGCAGCTCGAGGTGGAGGGTGCTCGTTTGGCACCCCATGCACAAGGTGCCGCCCGCTTCGCTTCCGAACAGCAGTGCTCTACGGTAGAAATCATATAGAGTAGCGCATTGTTTACAAGTAACTAGTGACGGCTAAGCTGCCAGCAGGCGTATTTTGCCCATCGGCAACACACTTCCAGTACTTGCACAAAGGTAACCCTTTGTTCACAGTCCTGAACACACATGATTTGTACTCTTTTGGCAGAATTTGTGGAGTACCCAGAGTAGCCTCAGGCTATCAGATGGTGGGCAAGGTGGATGAGGCGAATCAGATCATCCGAACGGCGCATTTGCTGGTGGATCAAGGCCTGGTAGGGTTTTGTTTGTTTGGCATGTTTGGTGTCACAGCTGTGCGGAAACAAAGTGACCTGGATTTGTTCCAGGTTCCATGCACCCTGCTGGTTCCTGGAGATTCCACGCCCTTTCTTGCCGGGTCTATATAACCTCCAAAAATCTACGAACCAAATCATTAAGGCTCAGGCTTCTTCAAAGCTCCCCCGGCCCTCAGACGAGCAGACTTGAAGCCTGAGCCCTAGGCCCACATCCAAAAACACTAGTAGCTTGCTGGCTTCTGGTAGCTGGGCCAACCTCTTACAGCCTACCCCTGCCTTTTTGGGAAACAGCTCATTAGTTTTTTCGAGGTTTGAAGCTGAAGCGTCAAGCCAAATCGATCCACCAGAGCGCCGTGGAGCTCAACGATGCTTTGCCTCAGTATGCCACAGCAGAACAGGAGAGCGACGAAGCGCAACGACGAAGCGACTGACTTTGGGGCAAACTGTGTGCTTGTAGCTAACACTTGGAGCTGCAAAGCAGACTTGCTAGTCGCTTGTCTAGAAGTGAGAAGTGCAAAGCCGGGTTGCGACTCTTGAGTCAGCAGTTTGACAGCAGGCAGCAATTCTTCATGCGGCAGCGATGGCAGCCGGCCCCACTTTGCCAACCAATGCTCCTCCGTACTAGGCCTTTGTGTGGTCAGCAAATCGGAGAAAGCTTTACAAGTGTAGAGATTAGTTTCCTTTCTATTTTTGTTTAAGACCCGATGCCATATGCGTTTTTCTTTTTTCCTGCTTTCCTGTTGCTATGTCGCCAATTTACAATGCCGGCACTCGCCTTTGTTGCATGAAGAGCCATGAGAGCATGCAGCGGCAAGTACAGGGCAACGTGTTTGTTCACTGTGCGTTGTAGGTCCAAAGTCCATGATGTGCTCCGATTGGAGCAAGCCAGCGTAAAAGTGGTGAAAAAGGACCTGGAGTCGTGCAGACTCTAAAGAGGAAGAAAAGCACTGTCATCACCAACTTGGTAAAGGGGTGGTGCAGCAGTTCACTGCGGAGTGCATGCTCAAAATTGCTGCAGCAGATGATAGATATGATACATGCACGCTTGACTTCTGAACTCTGCGTGACACAATGACTCCCGTGCGCCGTTTGCAGTTCTTCTGCATGAAAACGCCACCTGGAAGGAATACACTACAATGGACTCTAAGAGAAGACTTTCCCTTATTGAATTGGCATTCGAACAGCTCCAAGCATGGGATGCTTTCGACACAAGGACAAATGCGATTTTTCTGGATTTGAAAAGCTATCCCGGTTGCGTGTGGCTGTGCGAAATCGACAGTACAAGTGAAGCTTGCAAGTCTTGCCATCAGAATCAGTTTGCTTGTTTTCCCAAGAGTGGAGATGGTGCAAGGGAGGAGGAATCGAAACATTTTTAGGCCACAGGGCAATACCTTTGGAACACCCTTGACCTGATCCCCACATTACTATTACTATACATTACTGTACTAAGATGGCAAGTGACTTTGATAGGGGAGGCAGTTGCAGCCACCCTCTGTTTTTGACATTCTAGCGCTTGCTTACGCGACATGAGCCATGGACGGGGCAATCAGCAGGCCTGGCTAGTAAGTTTCATCAGCGAGTGGCTTTTCAGCAGATTGCATCTCCAAGAGCAGAGATAGACAACACAACCTAGGCTGATCAATTGCAGAACACTGCGAGGACAAGCGCATTGTGATATATATATATATGTATATTTTTATTTTTTGCCACGTCTTTGTTGATGAAAACAACAAGAAGTTGCTTTCATTGCCGGATCAGGCAATGGCGGCGGCCCTCTTTGAGTCGGTGGAGACAGATGTCAGTTGGGCCTACAGCTTTCAGTGATGTTGGCCGCCGGGGTTGGTTTTTGTTCTGGTTACTATTAGAAAATTAGCTACGATCGTAGCGATGGCCTCCAACCGAATAGCGATGGCCTCCACCCTAGTAGCTTCTTGTTCCTAGTTTTCGCGGGCCACCCGAATCCGCCGACCCGTGGGACCCGTGGAACGCGCGTTTTCGCTGCGCTTCGCTTCGCTCCCGAGGTTCTCGTACGATTCGCATGACGCATTTCCCAGCGGGTTGGCAGACGTTGCAGGAGGCGGGCGCCCCGGGTGACGTTTGGAAAGTAGCTGTTTGAATATGGAGTGGGGCTGCAGGTCCATTTCTATCGGCATAGGCATAGGCATAGGCATGAAAAAAACTACTTTACTTCGAGTCATCCCCACCATCACATGCCAGTCTGACATATTTTCTGATTTTTTCTGACATATTCTGACAATCTTTCCAGCATGCTATCTGGCACACATACTGGCGTTCTATCTGCCATATATATACTTACATATTGTCTGGCAAACCTACTGGCATTGTATCTGACATATTTTCTGATGTTCTTTCTGGCATACATACTGGTGTTCTATCTGACATATCTTCTGATATGCTTTCTGGTATTCTATCTGGCATTCTATCTGGCATATCTTCTAGCGTTCTATCTGACATATCTTCTGGCATTCTATCTGGCATATCTTTTGACATCCTTTCTGGCACTCTATCTGGCAATATCTGGCATATCTTCTGACATTCTATCTGGCATATATTCTGACATCCCTTCTGGCATCATATCTGGCATATCTTCTCGCATCCTTTCTGGCACTCTATCTGACGCCCTGTCTGGCACTCTATCTGGCACTCTATCTGGCATATCTTCTGACATTCTATCTGGCACCCTATCTGACACTCTTATCTAGTGGTTGAGGTCCGGTGGTGCCCTCTGGACTCGGACGCTGCCGGTTGAGGTCCGGCATTGCCCACTGCGATCGCGAGATTGTGGTTGAGGTCCGGTAGTGCCCACTGCAATCAAGAGTTGGCGAGGAGACGGCGAGGAGGAGGAGAAGGAGAAGGAGAAGGAGAAGGAGGAGGAGGAGGAGGAGGAGAAGAAGAAGCAGAAGCAGAAGCATAAGCAGAAGCAGAAGGAGAAGGAGAAGGAGAACCAGAAGGAGAAGGAGAAGGAGAAGAAGGAGAAGGAGGAGTAGAGCTCAGATAAAAGCTAACAACCCTCACCTGGCAGGTGGGGAACAAGATGGAACCCAGGAACCTGAATGCAAAAACGCACTCCAAAACAAACGGGCATCACTTTGTTTTTGACACTCGTGTGACTTGTAAGACACTCTTGTCTGGGGTGCTCTTGACACTGTCGTGGGACACTCTAGTGGGACATTATCGTGGAAAACTCTTCTGGCCAGTCTTGTGGGGCAGTTTTGGGACTTGTGGGACTCCTTTGTGGCACGGTCTTGTTGGTCACTCTTGCGGGACACGCTACTCTTCTGTCTTATGGGACACACAGTTTACAGGATGAAGACCTGCTGTGGCCCATCAAAGAACGACAGAAAAACAACGGTTCCGGGTCTGCTAGCGAAACTACCTCGACCCCTTCTGGCGGAGAAGGACACAACGCCTTCCGCAATTGCGAGGAAATCCATAGCGATGGCCTCCAACCTAAGAGCGATGGCCTCCGACCTAAGAGCGATGGCCTCCGACCTAAGAGCGATGGCCTCCAACCTAATATAGAGATGTTTTTGAGGGATTGGGGGTGTGGTGTTCTTTCGCCCGCGCTGGAGAGGCACAGCTAATGACGAAGATCAGGGCCTTGTTGCAGACCTTGGGAGCTCTGGAGCAACCGCCCTCCACGATGCGTGGAGAGAAGAACCAGGCAGTCCCGAAAAAAGCTGTCGCGTCATGTCACAACAACTTTTCACAACAACATACAACAGCTGCCCATCAGCAGTCACCGCATGAGCAGTTTCAATCAATTTCATCCCTTCATCACATCTGTAGCCGACACACAAACTCGCGTCGCCTTGGTCTCGCCTCCGAAAATGCACAAAACACAGCCGACTTCGTGTGCGTTTCGCCTCAGAGTTGTTTGCCCAGACAATGCCCCCAGAAGCGAAAGCGGTGAAGTTGTTCCGGTCAAGGATGGCCTTTGTGAGCGGCGTGTTCTTTTTTTGAGCGGTGCCCACTGCAGTTGATCGCTACTGCCACCTTCAACGAGAGAGAGAGTGCTGAGAAGGCAGTGAAGACTTTGCCACTCGGAGACAGAGAGGTCGTGGCTGCAATTTGTATAATATGTAGATATGCTGAACATTTTGCACGGAACAGGATGTCTTTGTATCATCTGACATTTTGGACCTTCTCAGACCAACAAGGCTTGATATCCACTCCCCCTCTTGGCACGCTTGGCACGAACTATAGTAGTAGTTCATGGCAGGTCCTGGATCTCTGCCCGCGCAATGGTAGATCCACATCTGAAAGCCGACAGTTGACTCTTCCTTGTTGAAAAGTCCGTCCAAGGCATGGAGTTGACAATCGAAGCGAAGCTGATGCTTGGCATGGAGTTCTGGGAAGATGATTCACCCGAAAAGAAACACCCCCCCCCAGGTGACTAGGTTCACCTTCGGGACTTTAGCGGACTTAGCTACTCTTTACATACAAGATCGCCTTGATTAAGAAATCGCGCTTTTGGAAATAAGAATGCAAAGGTGTACGAAAACGAACTATGGCCCAGGGCCTGACTAGAATTGCTTGAAACGCCGCACATGATATTTTTATCAGCTTCCAGTGAGCATCAGACATCAGGTCAGCGTTACTTCTTTGGCTGTGCTGTCAAGGGAAGTTTGGTCGCTTGTGGATTGTGTTTGGACTGATTTGTAATGACACCTGTCAGGAGAAGCGGCGGATGAACTATGGTCCACCCAGGGATGAAGACAAGTTTGCGGTTTTCTTGCTAGGCAGGGACCTCTCCAACCTACTAGCGATGGCCTCCCTCCTAGTAGCGATGGCCTCCAAGCGATTTAACGCCTGTAGTGCCTTGGTGCAGCCCCATGCCCCTTACACAAACAGCCATGCTGCAAGAGATGGTCTTTCATTGGCATCAATCGCACCAATCGCTTTATATTGCTGTTGCCAACCCCCAAGCTGGTGTTGCTTCCGATCGTCCTAAGTCCTCTAAGTCAGATGCATCGATGCCAACCGAAGCCCACTGAGACCGACCGTCTCATCTCCTCCAGGTGCAGGTGCCTCTACCGAGTCACGGGACACCCACGGTGAGGCACGGTGAGTCACGGTCATGGGACGGTTTCGATTTCCGTCGAGTTCCGGCGAGGTCGGTTGGCCACGGCCATCGAGTTTACTCACCAGCATAGTCCAAGTCACGCTGTTGGCGTGAACCTGCGTTGGCTAGTTATCTTGCACCGGCAAGGAAGGGAGCGTAGTACATGAGCCAGTGACTCTTGCATAAACCACATATAATATGGTAGAACTGTAGAACTAGCACACATGACACGCAAATGAGGCACCGGTTGAATTCTTTGTGGCTTCTCCTAAGTGTCATATTATCATTCTTTGCTGTGCATGTTCAGTCATGAACACTCTCAACTCCCGGCCACAGCATCGCATCGCTGCTACACGGCCATCGCCTGACATGGCCTCCACGGCGGGATATGGATGGTGGCAACGCCAGAAAGTGAAGTGTGGCATCCGCCTAAGCTGCAACCTTCGGTGTTTAGATCATCTTACTTCGCAACATCCACATCGCTCGCTAGAGAGAGAGAGAGAATAGAGTTGTTTTTTTTTTTTCCAAAATGTTTTTCATTTTGATATTTATTTGCAAAGCTTTCGGACCACTCTGTTCATCATCCGCATCCACTCATCTGCTATCATTCCTCTTTTGTTCCACTTTGTTGTAAACACACACTCTGAACATGGGGCTATCCGGCCATATATTATTGTGTAATTTTTTTAAGCATGCATGCCATTTTACCTAGGTTTTGTATGGCAAGAGATGCTCGCATGTACTTGTATCTATCGCTGTTTGCAAAATGGGCTTTAGCCTCCAGAAACTGGACTGTTCGAGGGAAACAGTTCCTATCAAGTATATGGGTGTAGTGAGCAAAGAGTAGGCTGCAAACAACCTGTTGCACGGTCCACAAAACTATGTTGCACTCAATTTTTCACCGTTTCCATCGATGCTATCTCGCCACAGCACCCTGCAAGCAAATCTTGAGACAGGACAATGGTACTCCTGTGCTGTTGTATGTTGATGAGATCCGCCTTCTGGAAGAGGAGGCTGCCTGCATCGAATTGCGCTTGAGAGGGCATCAAAAGATTACGAGCAATACCTTTTGATTCAGATTCCTCTTGATCCCTCAATATACAACAATCTGAAGGTGGCATCTGCCAGAGAAGTTTTCTTGCGAGACTTGCCGGTGGAGGCGGGCGGGGACAGTGCAAGGGAAGCAGTAGACGTGAGCGACCGAATCGTCTTGTTTTGACAAAGAGTTTGGGGTCGACCGAATCTTTTGAAAGGTCAACGTAGATCTGACAAATGTCGACCGTGGACTACGAACATCCCTGTAGAAGGTCAGAAGGTCGTGCAACCTGATGTGAAACCGCCCACAAACTAATTTGTAGTAGGCTGGACCAGATTAATTCGGAAGTTCTAAAAAGGGTTGTGTGGGGGACGCCTTTTGTGAGTTTGAGCAACATCAGTTTTGGATAAGCTTTTAATTTCCACTAGACATTACAAGGACTTCCTGGGGTGGTTTTGGGATTGACTGACTGAACATCTAGGCCAGGTGTTTGACGACACTGGAAAAACATGCATGACCATAGGTCTTAAGAGTTGGTAGTCGCATTGCAAGCCCGTTGCATCTTCGGGAAATTATTATCTGGAACACTGAGCAAAGCGGAGAATCTGGAGGGCATACTCAGAAACATTGCGGAACCATACTCTTGCTTTGGAGGAACCTTTTACGGTTCAATGTACAGCTGCCACTTTTTGTGCATTCATTTGTTTCATGTTGTTGCGGATCGTCAGATGAGCATTTGGCTCTACTTTAGAGGTGCTTGAATTTGGACTCGTGTTTGGAACTCCAATGGCTGACGCACCTGCCATGTTGATCTTCGAGGTTCCCCTGGCAGAAGTGTCTTCGCAGAACAATAGTGTTTGATTTCATTGTTTTACTTCGTTGGACAGTTGGGCCGTTTTCGTTTGAGACCATTTGGAAGTAGATCCATTTATTGATCCTGCACTTTTGATGGACCTCTGAGCAAAAACCAAGTAGCAACCTGTCTCAAAGTAGTCCATGCCACTTTCCCAACGGATATGGGCAAATCTTTGCAAGGAGAACCACCTATATAATTTGTTGTCCTTTGTTAGATCTTCCCTACAAGCTTGTACTGTGGAGGGCATGCCGGCTTAGGTTCAAAAAGGGGAATCGGAGAGCAGTTCCATGGAACTTGTCCTGCGGATTGGTCATTCGGAAGTCAGACTTCTTCGACCCAAAGAGGAGAAGTTGGATGTCCAAGCGATGCTTGGCTAGTGATCTTGCATCAAGCGAATCACTGACAGCAGCAAGTATTGATGCAACTCTCAGGCAGACTCATGCTTGTACTGCCGATTTCCGCACGGGTAAAGCTATACACACACTGAGGAAAAAACTATGCAGCTTGGCCACAGGAAGCTGTGCTGGGCCAGATTTGCACGAGTTTTCATCGCACAAGGGATGATTCTTCTTTAAAAACAAGTGAGGATTGGCCTTGAAGTCAGGCAGCCATGTTATTTTGGATCCTTAAGGGATGACCAGCAGACCAGCAGTGGTTCAGAACAACTCTTCTGCGTTGTAGATGTCGGACTCAAGCTTGTTGATGATTTTTAGGCGGTTTGCCTGAGGGAAAAGAGTCCCATGATCCAACATCTAATTGCAATGTCATATTTGCACAAATCACAACATAGTGCTCGCTTGTTGTTTGAGGTCAGAAAATGAAGGCCTCTTCATTGCAGGTTCTTCGAGCTGGTTCGAGAATTTCTGAAGACATTCAGGCTCGCTATGTTTGTGCCACATGTTGAGCACATGAATCATTCACTACTTGTAGGAAACGTCTTGAGCATCGTGGTCGTTCCTACCAAACATCATGCATGTTATGCCGATGACCATGATGGTGACCATGATGATTCTTATCCACATGTGCAAGTTGCGCTGCATACGATGCCTGTAGTTGCGGGCTTCATCAACTCAGATAAAATCTGTGTGATTGCTATAGTACCCTTGTGGCTGCCCATTTGTTATTTGTTGCTAGTCTCCTTTGAAGAGCCGAGTTGAAGAAGACTCCCACAGGTTGCGATGCCCAAGGGTGTATAAAGCCTTGTGACTCAGGGAACGCAGGCATGGAAAGATGCGGCGCTGGTGCAAGTCACCATGGACGATGGAACGCTCGATGCATTCTTGGTAGCAGATGTCTATTTTCATTGTAGTTTGGAACTGAAGACAGCAATGCGTGGGTTTGAAATTGGAGAGCCGAGGTACCTGTCTTTTGGAACCCTGCAGTCTGTGTCACTTGCAGAGTTTCTTCCACCTCGCCAATGGTCTCAGTGCCTCTAAGTGCAATAACATATCTCTCGCGTTGCTCAAGAGGGGACTGTATTTGGTTATGGCAACGTGATGAAGCTGGGAGTGGACGCACGCGGCGCTGGAAGGCTGGAAGGACGGGAATGAATGCAATCTACCAGGGTGCTATATCTATGCATGTGATTGCATGTGTATATACAGTGTATATATAATATATAGTTGTATAGTATGTTGATGCACATCACCTTTGGTCTGCCGGATTAGGGGGGTGCTCTTTATCTACTCTTGAGATGAATTGCCCTATGTTTTTTTGTTTTAATGCTTGTCTTTTAAGTTATGTCGTTGGATGAAATACCCTGCAAGACAGTTGGTCATGGAGCTTTGTATACTCCGAGTGCAGCTGACGAAGGCTGCTTTTTGAGAGTGGGTTGCACTCCACCGTCACTTGCAGGCACCGTGTTCAGTACCTTGGCTGAATTGCATGTCACTTAGTGAGCCTAGAGTTGCTTGTATCTGTTCGAGCAACGGCCTAGCATGCGGTGGCTGTGGACTGCAAAGATATATTGGTTCTGATCACGCAACTGCCTTGGTGGAACATGTTTCAATCCGCAGCGTGATCATAGATGCTTGAGGCAGCCACTGTATGATTTCAGACAGAATCGAAGTAAGGTAATGTCAGCAACGCTGTTTCAGCACCGCCATTTGACGACTGGCGCTGGCGCTCATTTTCTGCGCCTCCATCTGGAGATATCCGCATTGCGACCTACAATGTCCTGGCGGATGCCTTTGCATCCACCAAGCAGGCAAAGAAGGACGTCCATGGGTCGTACTGTTCATTTCTCCATGTTTGAGATACCTTGAGTATGTTGGAAGTGTGGGATCTATACATTGGACCGTTCATGTTTTCAGGAGGTGTTCCACTATTGCACGGCGGCTGTTTTGGCTCCGGGACCTCGAAGACAAAGGATCTATCGCGACCTCTTGAAGATAGATGCAGATATTTTCGGCTTGCTACCTGGCAGTTGGTGGTTCAGCCAAAAGCTTATGTTTTGGAATGGACAGGGCCATGCTTTGTCCTTCAAGCTTGACACCTAGGCAAGAAGTAGATACAGGTCAACTGGCTGTATTGAAACCGATGGAAGAGCTTGGCTGGGAGCGTTCTTATCTTAAGAGCCTTGCCGCTGATAGGCAGCGGCAGATCGCATTGTGAGAAGCTTTCTGAATGAAGTGCTCACTTCAATGACCAAACTTTATCAAACTTTACTGTAGACTTGAGATTTCATCGGAACTACCACATGCATCCACATGCCTATTTTGATGCGGCTGCATTGGGTCGCATGAACGAGAGCCCGACCCAGGAAGGGTGGCGCCAGCCTTGACGGCTGCGCCTTGTTTTGGCGCAGCTCCCGCTTCAGGTGCGAGGCCAGGTGGCTTTTGGAAGAAAACATTCTCAGATCTTCATAGGCTCATAGGTTAACGGTTTTCATTAATCTTGTAAACGCATCCGCCAGGCTTGAGGTGGAGGGATCTCATTTGGACATTTTTGTACCATTGCTTCCTATCAAGACAGTGTACGAACAATCGTTGTATGTTTGTGACTTGCTTTAAATCTTAGATGCAACTTGGAAGGATCAGCTGCAGTGGTCTTTGAGTGGCAAGCTTCCTGGCCTGAAAGATACTTGGTTCGAGAATGCCAGATCAACCGCCTCTGAGCAAAACTTCAAACTCTGGTGGCTCCCATTCCACATCGGCGCCACCGTGTCTTATGTGCACATGAGGTGCTCTTTGCATTCTTTTGTACAGTACCTATGTTTCCTTGAAGAACATTCCTATATTGGCCTAGGAATCTGAGCTGCAAATTATGGCAGAGCACCCCACACAGCGCCTGCTCAACAAGATGACCAGCGTAGCGCAAGCAGTGCTTCTGCGGGATTTGCAGAATGGCCGGTTGTTATTGGTGGCCAACACCCACTTGCAACTTGAACAACCGCAGGTAATGGCGAAACAAGATTCTACACACAGTGAGTTGAGTTCTATTCATGTGTGGTTGATCCAAGGTACTATCATCCCAAGGGCAATCACATTCGTTTGCTGCAACTGTATAGCCTCTTGAAGGTTTTAGCTGAAACTGTGACAAAACATGAGTCGGAACAAGGCGGGGAAGTGGATGTATCAGCGGACTGACCAACACGAACACGTGTCTTTGTTTTCTGGATGGCAACATGTGCTTTTGCTTACGATTGCATAGTGGAACAATGTATACAATCGGTTGTTTGGTATGAGGATATATTTGAGGTAACAAAAAAGGAAAACAAAGGAACTATTTTTTGATCAAGATTCATTTTCCGTTCGATTTGATGTCTAGGCGAGGCAGTGTCGCTGGTTGTGCTGGGCGATCTCAATGCCCGCAAAGGCAATTTCGGACCGCGAGACCAGGCAGCTTCCTTCTTGTTGCACGAAACACACACACATACACATTAGGCTTGGTGGCAGTCGTTATTTTCGCAAGTAGAATCCAGAGAAAGCAATTGCGCATTTGGCTAGGGACAACCCCCGCAAGCAGCCTACCGCATGATCCGTGATGGCTTCATCAATTCAGATGATACAGAGACTCAGCATGCAATCGTATACCACTTGGGCGCTTTTTGATCGAAGGCTCAAAGAAAACATTGCCTTTTTGTTTATCTTTGATATCCCTAAGCCTAAGCCCAAGTGCCGTTGCCAAGCTTTGTCCTGTGGGAGATGCCAACGCCTTGCAATGCCTTACCAATGCTAGTGCAACTTAGTGCAACTGGGTCTCGGCATTCCTAGAATTTTCCATGGCAAGAGATTAGCAAAAAGCCGCTCATTTCTTCGAACATGGAGGACTGGAGGCATTCTCTTTGGAGTCAAGAAGATGAAGCTGACACAACTCATTCCACTCCGGATGTCAATGGAGGCTACAGTCGCAGCTTGGAGCTGCAAGACCTGAAGCTTTTTTGGCATGAAAGACGTGTGGAGACGCAGATGACAGACGCACGTGTGATACCCGAGGCTCTTTGACTTGCCCTGCAGAGAATCTGGGGGTTGAGGCTGGGACAGTGAATATTTACTTGCCTAGGATCGCAATGTTCTGCGACAAAGAGCTCATAAGGTACAAACGTATGTTGTCGACAACAGGATCAGTTTCCCCTATCACTACATTTGCACGGTGGTGCATTGCATGCAACCTAGTAGGTTCTGCATAGCTCCTGCGGCGATCTTTCTTGCCTCCGGGCGACATGCCAAACTGTTCAGGCCTTGAGGATGGATCTAAAGCTTCCGTGGCCTCTGATTGATCCGAGCCTGAGCAGATTGGCAAGGCCTTTGTCATTTTGGAACTTGAAAAAGCATTCCGTGTAGGCTTGTCCTCATCATCCCTGGGAAAAAGTAAAAAAAGGACTCTCCACACTTCATTCGACTCATTTATCATAGTAATGTCCTATGCTCATGACAGCTGGTGTATCAGCAATTTCTACTCCCTCAAGCTCTTGATGCTGCGCTTCCAAACAATGTTACTCCAATTCGGGCATCATTTTGTTCTCGCAAATTTCTTATTCTGACCCCATTGAAAGTCTTTGCTGTGTGGAGAGGAGCAGTCCAGTTGCCAAACGGTGGCATGTCCAAGGAATGACCATCTGGAAGTCACAAACTTCACCGCAGATTTTCAGGAGCTCTGTTTTGGTACCAATAATGTCCCGTTGAATGTGCGGATTTCCAGCTGTAAATTCGCGTGAAGGGTCACGAAGGTGGCGATGATGGTTAGGCAAACCTTCATCTGGCCGACACTGCTTTTGGATTCCTGGGCCGTTTGTGTCTCTTTCCACGGGACTGGTGGATCTTTGCAAGCCAGATGAAGGCATGATCCTATATGATCTCCCTTTTTCAATCGTATTACAATATCTCCATACAACTGGTTTTCAGTTAAAACATGTTCACCCGCCAGGAGTGCTTGGACTACACGCTGCTCGATGCCCGTTGCCTCAAAGCCACTCGCACCTTTGAGGCACCGCCCCTGGAGTGCTTGCGGCGACACACGGCTCTACCCTCCGACGATTTCCCGTCGGACCACCTCCCCGTGGTCGTGGAGATCACCTACCTGGAGAAGATGGTGGTGGACAGATGACGTTGGCGCCGGATCGGCTAGATCTCTGAGTTGAAAAGGTTCGAGACCTCCACAGAAGTCTCCGGAGACTTCTCCGAAGTTTAGAGAATGTAGCTGCAAGACACTGTCGAGCTACATTCTTGCGATGGATGTTTTCGGGCTGTGGATTCCGACTCTTTTCCTTTTGTTCTGTATGGTTCTGTTATGTTTTGTTGAATTTCCTCCAATTTGGGGAACTGCCATAACCATGGCATGTCAAAGACCGTCACTTTGACACGAGGCTAGCCGACCAACATCGACCAACAACCTGTGAGCAGATTGCTGTTGTGGCCTGGATGTTTCCGACATGGAAGCCTTTGTCAGACTGACCCTGGTGGGCACTGAGATAATCAGGACGCCCCCACTCCAAAAGACTTTGCAATTTGCAAGTGGACGGCAGGAAAGACATTTTTAGACCTGCAAGGCAGGCACAGAGGTGTAGAGAGGCGCAGAGAGGCGCAGAGGCCATCCCGTGCACAGCTTCTACTTGGTGTTGGGGCCAAGGGTCTACGACCTACGATATCCTACAATCAAATTGACTCAATTGATTGTCTATTGAAGACAAGAACTGCCGAAGGCAGACAGCCTAGAGAGGAGCGTCTCAGCAATCATTTGCCTGCCTGAGAGGTCGAAGAAACGATGCGACTGTTGTCCCATTGTTTTAGTTCTGTTGAACATACACTGTGAGATTTTGAGCCTTTTCCAAGAAGCACTTGGACGTTTTGGACCATGTTCTGTGCTTGGCAGTTTCGGCCACGTTCAAGTTGCGATCCCTGAGTTCAGACAGTGACTCGGAAAAACAAGAAAAAGAAGAAGAAGAAGAACAACAACAAGAACAAGAACAAGAACAACAGCAACAACAGCAACAACAACAACAAGAACAAGAACAAGAACAATAACAACAACAACAACAACAACACCACCACCACCAACAACAACAACAACACCAGCAACAACAACAACAACAACAAGAACAATAACAAGAACAATAACAAGAACAACAGCAACAACAGCAAGAACAAGAACAAGAACAATAACAAGAACAACAACAACAACACCACCACCACCAACAACAACAACAACAACACCAGCAACAACAACAACAACAACAACAAGAACAAGAACAAGAACAATAACAAGAACAACAGCAACAACAGCAAGAACAAGAACAAGAACAATAACAAAACAACAGCAACAACAACAACAACAGCAGCAACAACAACAACAACAGCCCTTTTGATGAAGATACCAGACATCTCCGGACTGAAAACCAGACATCGACAGGACTACACGGAGGCACAACTCCGGGAGTGGCTGCAAGGCGTGGTCGCGGCCGCGACACCGGGTATTCGCTGCTCTCGTGGCCACCACAGCGTAGATGCAAAAGAAGCAAAGGAGGCTAAGTAAGGCCTTGAAAAGGCTCTCTTAGAGGGCAAAGCAAAGCAATCCAGGCCAAAGGCCCACAAACATAACAAACATTAACAAACATTGGGTAGAAGAGGTGAGATGGCCAGTGTCAAATGTAGGCTTCGTGCTCTACACCCTGCTACACCATGCACCCTTTGGTAGGATGAAAGTTGAAACAACATGCCGAATGAGGAAGCCATCACTCTTGCATTTGCCGTTCATAGACCCCAAAGAATTTGACAAAAGCCGAATTTGTTTTCACAGGTTTTGGTCATCCTGAAGCAGTCAACTTCTTGAAGGATCCAGTGAGCAAGGAGCTCAATGGCAAGGCTCAGCGTAGATGTGGCCGTTTTGCTCAACGAGCTGAACAGGTTTTGAATTACACTACATTGCCTGATACCAGTTCAAACAGGCTCAACGCAGACTTGACACCCCAGAGTCCTAGAGTTATCTTGCTTGGTGCCGTGGTGACCGTGGTACTCACACAAAGCCTGTTCATTTGTGCAGGAAATCCTTTTGCTTGGATACAAATTTGACAGAACATAGCTCAGCGCATAACCATGCATCTCAGTCTTTAGATGCAGCTATGAACCTGTGCGTGGCAGGGCTACGTGCGGTTTGGCCTGCACGAGGAGGCTGTGGGTCTCTTAGCTGCCTTCGCAGAAGATGATGAGGAAGGCTGGATCCGAATCCATGTTCTCTGGCCAGTTCTGACCTCGGTTCAAGTCAAGCTGCAAGTCTTTAAGGAGTCCTGTTGCCCAACAGCAGTCTCTCCACTAGGGTATCCCTCAGAGGTCACCCTGATGTCCACTGCAAGTATTCACATCCCACCAGCACTTGCATCTGTTCTCGCTTTGCCGCTGGGCCGCTACTCTATATGACATTATATGACGTTTAAATTCTGTGAGCTTGCTCTCGTCCCGTTGCCAAAAGGTGGAGTACAAGGCAACTGGTCACTTTCTGAAAGGCGAGATTCGCAGTGCCCGAGGATCTGTTTGCTTGAGTTCAAGTGGTAGTGTCATGTAAGAAACCTTCTTCATTTGCTATATAATCGTGCTGGTGTGGCTCACACTTGAGCACTTCAAGATTGTGAGGTGTTGGTGTGTGTGTGTGTGTGAGTGTGTCACGGAATTAGTAGATCGCAGCCGCTGAGAGGTTACAAAGCTCAAGGGTGGGGGATGCATTGCAGGCAAGAGCTGTCGGGGACCTCAGTCATGTGCCAGCTGTGGGTTGTAGTCGTTAACTTTTCATATTAGCAAGTGGCCAATGAGATGCTTACAGATTTCTCGGTCAATCCGGGAAACTTCGCCCTGGAAGGATCTCGGTAGGCTGTCGGTTCTGTGCAACTTGATCTCGATGCCCAGGGAGCCGTCGCCACAGAGTGTGGCTATTCCAGGCGATCTTGTTTTGAGCAGTCCTTTGATTATTTTATAACATTAACAATCAATATAATGGAGCACAACTGGCCTCGGAATCATGGTCTGATGAAAGCGAAGAATGTCTCAGAGCAGAAGATTGATTTGCAAGACGCCCAGTGTGTCAGGCTAGTCCTTGTAGGAGGCGGTCGCGCCCCTCCTCAGGGTACTTCTTGGGGCTCCTTGGTTCAACAGGAAGGGCCTTTGACCTTTGCACTTTTCGCAGAGGCGGGTCTTGAGACTGGAATTGAGCGGGCTGGGGTCACTGGACCTCAAGATCTGGATGCAAGTCTTCACTGAAGTCTAGGTCCAAAGTGTTGAAAGGACCAAGAGTTGGTTCAGGGGTTTAGCAAGGCGAGTTTACACACCATGAAGATGAAGCCTTACATAGCTTTATACTTTATACGCACTGGGCCATAGATGGCCATAGGGAACTCGACCTCACAATCCATAAATACAACACTGCATAGGCGGACTCGACAGATAGGACAGGTCAACTCCGGTAGGAAGAGACCGTCTTGACAGGGCAACCTTGAGAAGCTCAAGAGCCGATTAGACTCTCTGGTCGAGGCACTCGTGACCGCTGGTCTTGAAATCGTTTTTGTCTTACACTGGGTGACACCATGTTTTTTGTTTTGTTCTTACCCTGAGTGACATCGTGTTTGGCGTTCTTGTTTGTCATGCATCCAACCATAATGTACCAGGTTCCGCTAGTGTTGTCCAGAACTCGCAAGGAAGCCTTGACAAATCCAACATCCTTCAGTGGAAGCTCCACAGTGGCTTGGCTGATGTCCGGCTGGACTTCAAAATCTCACCGCCCAACTGGGTGAGTGCCAGCCACCTGGTACTTCTTGGTCTCCCATTTCTTTGTCAGAATCTGCATCAATCAGAGCCCGCAAAAAAGAAGCCTTCAGTGCGGAATAGCTGGATCCGTGTAAGTGGCCCTACTGAGGCTTCCAATGTCAGTCCTACATCACCCTGCATCATGGTGAAAGGCTTCCCTAAGAGTTGGCGGGAACAGCAGGCACGTTATTTCTTGCACCGTGCATGCATTCGCATATCCGTATACCGTATTTGCTACTATAACACACTTTTCATAAGGCTGGCACTGGTAGGCGCTAGTTTGTTTTGACTCTTCTGTCTCAATGAAAGGTGTCGCAACTCCTTGGTCTCTTCTGCCTGCCAAGCAAAGAGCACAAATCAATGCTGGTTCACTTTGAGACTCCTCGTCTCTCTGAATGCTTACATCACTATGCTGCCAGAACCGCTCAAACGCGGCTACCAATGTTTTGTAATGTTCAAACATGTTCAACAATGTTCACAGTGCATACTCCATTGTCGATGTGCACTGAACCACTACTGTATGACGAAAGTTTGTTTTTTGCAGCTCGGATTGTTGTGAACATGTTCATCGCGTCCATCAGAGACAACTGCCACAAACTCAGCTGCATGTCCTCAAAGACCCTGGACGCCTCGTCAGGTACGCCTCGTGTTCGCTCTTTTCGGTGGTGTCGGTTCCGTGCGCTTTGTGGTGGACCCCAAAACGGGGCAGCAGATGGCGTGCGTGGAGTTGAAGAATCGAGAGAACATGGCCAAGGCAGGGCTGAAACAGCAGCCTTCTTGACGCCTTATCTGTGCAGCATTTGGTGCACACAGCCGCAAAATGATTGTTTAACTCCAAGAACGCTTGCTGTATCCGCAGATTTTGATTGAAGATATAGAACCCTCCTGGGGCAACGATATGACAGATAATTATCCCAAACGGGTTTGAAACTGTTTTGCGCGCATCAATGAGAGGCTGTAGAGCAACTGCACAACACCAAAGTTGGTGATGGAGAGCTCATCGAGGCAAACATGGTTTCCTTCCGTGTGTATTTTTGTCACATCCATGGAATCTCTTGATATCTCTTGAACTTTCTTCTTCAATGGTAACTGTAAGTTGCTTGAAGGACAGGGGCAGCTCGATTTCCGGGGGGGTTGGATTTGTTGCCCAGGAGTGTGTGGTAACTTGTGAGCTCTTCGGTGATGACGTGGGCAAAAGCAGGTGCCTGCGTCAGAACAGAGTCAAACCACTATCTAACTATCCAAAATGAATCTCCAACATCGTTTTTCTGACAGTTGATTTGTGGGAACAGTTCAGATTATTATTTTTCATCATTGCCTTTCAAAATACAACTGGCGGAGTTGCTTGCTGGTGATCATCGTAGACGAGAAACGGTAGCAGTGGTGTGTTATGCTAGGCAACCAGAGCCAGACAGTGTGGGGCGATGCAAATAAAGTGAAATCTAAATCTGATGCTCAAAAACATGCCATGCAGACACGATTGGAAGTGGTGCAAACATGTGCAAAGGCATGTGTGCGAACAGCACGATTTTGATGTGAAATGGAGACCTCCGGCCAGGCCTTTGCGCCGAACGATATTTTTGGATGAGTTGAAGTTGTCCAGGAAGCCAGAGATAAAGCCTGACAATGAGGCGGCACTGGAAAACCGCAGACTCGTGTCAAAGGCTTTTGACATCCCATTCTCTCTTAATTTTCGCTGAAGAGCATTGAGCATCAGCCTTTTGTGTTATTGTCCCCTTGAATTCTTGGCTGGCTGTTGCTTTCATTGGCCAGTAGTGTATGATTTTTGGATGGACAGTCAATGCTGTCCCGACTCTTGTGCAGTAGCTAAATCGCATGGGCCAAACACAGAAAGAACCTGAATGTGTTTTTTCAATCCTGCATTTGTTGCTTCTTGACAAACGCATGAGGAGGAACCTCTGCTTATTTTTGTGCGAGAGAGAGGGATGGCTTTGACGCATGGGTGGTGGTCCTTTGAGGGTTGTTTGATTTTGGGGCGACTCTGTTTGATCATCCAAGTGTATTGTCTAGACAAGGCTAGCATGCGCTAGAGGCCATGCTGCAGTTTATTCAATATTGGTTTTAGTTTGGGGAAGTTATATAATTAAGTAGAATGGAAGAAAGCTTGCCCATGCTACTACGGTGGCCGTTTTGTTGGAAAAAACCTAACCCAGGTGGCGGAAGGGGCCGAATGCAGATTCGCGTGACAATTTTATGAACCACTACACTCAGGGAAAAGCTTCGAAGCCAAGCTAACAAGCATCAAACATGATCAAGACAAACTGTCGCGAAGACGCTTAGAGCGACGATTTATCTCCTGCAAGGATGCTGAGTGGAACATTCTGCCTACCAGAATATATGCTAGGTTTGCCTTAGGAATCGGGCCCATTTATATACCCTCAATAGTCACTGTAAGAGTTGTTTCAGAATTAGAATGCTTTCCTCAGCCCCAAGCTTCATGAGCTCCGCACAGGACCGAGAAGTCTTCATGACAGGCCTGCCCATCAAGGCAGCTGCTGTGGTTCATGGTGTTGTTGTGACCTGCCCCATCAAGACTTTTCAGCTTTCAGATGACAGGTGGCTCGTAGGCAAAACACAGTTGGGGAAGCACTGACAGCACCAGGGTGTCCATACATGTCCAGACATGCATTAAAACGATGTAAAGCCTGGACAACGCAGCCTAAACTTATCAACACTTGAGCATTGAGCTGGGCCTATTTGTATACATGGAACATGTTGGTGGCATTGCAGGGATGATACAGGTATTTGCACTCTGACAATGATGGTCGCTGGTTTCTCAGGACTTCACTGAAGACCAGCTGAAGAACTGGCTCGAAGGCTTTGGGAAGATTGAGGATGTCTTCCTTCTTCGTGACGTGGTGCCTTGGGCAGCTGGGAGGAAGAAGCAAAACACCGAAGGGGCCTGGTGGTAGCCGGTTCTGAAGATGCTAATGTTTGGCCTGGTTCCAGGTTTGCACGTGCTGGCTGCCAGGTGTCTATTTGATTGTTTGCTTTCACCAAGGACCGCAAGTTGAACGCAAAAGGCTACGTGCGCTTCAGCTCCCATAGAAATGCAGAGAGCTGCATCCAAGCCCAAGCGTCAGGGCCTCTGGTGGGTAGAGACTGCATAAAGTGATATAAACAGGCTTCGACCCCAATATTCAGACGTCTGATTCCACAAGGCTCGCTCACCTCGTGTGCTAAAGAGCATATGATTCTGAGGTCCGAGCAAGATGCGGAGGAAGGCGATGTGATTGCTTGGTGGTCAGAGTCCGAACGGGCCTTGCGTGGTGCCTATGGACCAAACCTGCACAGCGCATTGGCCAGCAACGACGGGCGCGCTTTGGCGGCAAAATTACATACAAGCTTTCCGGCACAGCTATCTCCGAGTCCTAAGCCGAAAGGGTCCGAAAGGTCTAGGGTCAGCGGTCAGCTTATGCACAGTTTAAGCAGCTGAGATATCAAGGGCAGTGTATCAGAGAATAGATATTACACCGAGGATCCGCTTGCTGTTTTCTTAAGGAGTCTTCGCCCACTTGCTGGAGAGCTGCGAAGTGCGAGAGGTTTGGATGCAGCGGCTTGACTTCAGCTCCTGTCTTCGTCAAGCTTGTTGAACACACATTCATGAAAGCACATGCCACGTGAGCTTTCAGGAAGCGCAAACTCATCATGACCCGTCCAAAAACTGACATACTTTGAGCCCGCTGATTTTTTGCGGACGAACTGTGTTCCAGACGGGGACTCCCCGCCACATGCAGTATCATTTCCATGGACGTAAACTCAGTCAACATCAAGACTAGAGCGCAGCTGCTCAGGAGTCGGCTATGGCCACCCAAAGATCCTACTGCACCGGCCCTGCAAGGAAAGCAGGCTGACCTGCTTGGCGTAGACACAAAATTTCTTAGGGTGTACTTAAGTTACTTTCCATAAAACGGAAGGCAACAAAAACATCAGCGTCCCATAGAATATGTAGAAATAGCTAATTTCCGGGGCTGCTCAAATGCAGACAGGAAGGCCTTAGCTACTGTGCAAGGCGGAGCTCAGACCTCCAAGCTCAGACCCTCAATCCCCCTACCTCATCTCACCAGGTCCATTTCGTGGCGACCTGCACGGCGAAGCAGTTGCAGGCTTGGACCGAAATGGTGGCGATCGAAACGGTGACAGCAGAAATGGCGCACAGCTGTGTTTGGGATGGAAGGAACTTCTGACATGGCGTATTTTTCCAATAGGAACGAGGGGCCAATGCGATGCCATCGCTAGTAGGTTGGAGGCCATCGCTATGAACAGGGGCCAAGTGATGTTCTGATGTTCTAGTCCCGCTCGGCGGGACTAGCCAGTTACGTGTGGTTTGGACGCCAAGGCCCTACATAGGGCTCTGTCAGCAGCTGTGCAGGCCCGGCAGCCAAATGGAGTTCCACCCGCAATTAGCTGTTTGATAACAATTGATGAGTCTGTGAGTGATGCTGTTCTAGCACTGTGGTATGCTTGTCACCATTGCAACAACACTAGACATGTACTATTGACCTTGGCAACTCGAGTCTTTCAACTGCAAAGCCCGTTCGAAGGCCTTCCATGACCGCGTTCGAGGGGAAAGAATGGGGGAGGACTGTCCGGCAATGTCCTCCGCCGATTTGTGATGCCCATTAGCGGTAGTTGCCAGCGTTGCTTGATGTTGCTTGTAACGCGATTGTGTATTGGTCCCAACTGTTCGGAGCAGCCTCAGAAGCGCTACACAAGTCCTTTGGATGATCTATTGTCATGCACGATCCGCGGGAGGAGGGTGGAAGCAGCAGTAGCTTTCGCCCACCAGCAGAGGCCCTTCCAGAAGGGTATTTTTGGTCATGTTTAGGAGTACAGTCACTTGCCGCGAGCAACGCAGTAGGCTGAACAAGTGACACACACACACACACACACTTAGATGGTTGCTCGCAAGAGCTAGGATCAGAATGAAGTCCCACTTTACATGCATTAGACCTTGACTCAAAAGGAGTGCAAACAGAAAGGCGATGAGTCAGCGAATTGGAAGGTGTTTGAACAATGTTGTTTGAAGTGTACGGCCGGCGGTCACTAGGCTAGTTAAAAATTGAAGCAGGTACACAGGGGTGATCAATCCCTGCATCCTGGTCAGCTGCATAGAGCTTCGTTGGCGACAGCTATGCAGTGACCCTGTCGCCCCCTGCCTCTTTTTTGCTCGCGCTGTTTTAATTTTAGAATGGTTCCTAGTAGCAAGGCCAGAAGCTACAAGTAGCATCCAGCCTTCTAGTGAAATCTACGGCAGACTTACCAGGCACAAACCTTGGAAACAGGACACACTGTGCCGCAATCGGCGCTCTGTACCCCTTGCGTGAAAGATTTTTTGTGCAACAGCTTTGTACACATAGCGCCGATATTGGCGCTCCGGAGGATCACTAGCAACCTAAAAAGCCTTAGAAAGACAGACAAAGAAAACAAAACAAAAGCACAGGAAGAGGGCAAGAAAGAAAGATCGGTATAGTGACGAGGCCCACTTAGTTAAATGAAAGTAGTTAGCGAGCGGGACTTTGTCTTAAGCCGCCCGGGCAGCTAGGAGTAGGACAGGTGTTAACACACACACACACACACACACTCGCACACATTGGTCTTAGGATGCCTTTATGGACTCTTGAATATATCAGCCTTTTGGCTTTTGTGAGCAAGTGCATTACTTGGAGTACTTCACAAAGCTGCTCCTTTGGCTATCACAGCTATCATCCCTTACCACTTCTTGGATGCAATGCTTTTCTGCTCCACGGCCTGCCCGCGTCCACGCCAGCCACGGCCTGCCTGGTCGGCGCCGCCCGCGGGCTGGTCAATGGCTCCAGCCGGTGGTGCGCATGGAGCCCAACGTTTTGCCAAACAAATCCAGATTCTAATTTGACCTTAGGCGGGTAAGCCTAAGTCCTTGCATGATTGATTTGGTTCCTAGATTATATTTTGGGAAACTTACTAGATGCCGGTTTTTTTTGCAGAATTGTTTAAGCCCTTAAACTCACCTCTTACCACCGTGAACCAAAACGCAAGGAAACAATCTGCCGTTTTTCGCCTTTGCAATTTCGGAAAACAAATGAAGCTAATGGAGAACATGAACTGACATGAAGGAGCCAAAGACGTGTCACCGTGAATCACCTTCAAACCTAGCACCTCAAAGGCCACCACCTTGGCCTTATTACAGAGATCCCTATGCGCCGCTGGGAGCTCTGTTTCAGCGGGTTGTGAACTGAAAAGGGTGACAAGGTGAGGATCACTCCCACTCTGGGTCGTGCTTCGAAGTTGAAACCTTAGACCTTTTTCGCTGGGTGTTTCCAGGCGCATTTGTAGAAGGTGGTCACCCGGCTTCCTTTCAGCATAGCAGTGTTTCTTGCTGCTAGAAGCAAGAAATGATCTTCATGCTATAGGCTAACAGTGTCCTTTTGTAAGTCTTTTCCTTTCTATCTTCTTACCACCCACCCACCCACCTGAGGCAGCGCCCGCCGCCTGGGGCACCTGGGATGCCATGGCCATGGCGCCCCCCCAGGCTATCCACCAGGACTGGACGGTCGCAGATTCTTCTGGCTCTGTTGGAAGGACTCACAATGGTGGCCATCGCTATTAGGTTGGACCCCATCGCTAAGTAGGTCGGAGGGCTCCGTGATGCCAAACATTTGAAGCAGTTGTGACATGTTGTGGGCTCCGACAGTTGTCTTACTGCAGGGCTTTTTGAGACGAAGTACGGCCCAATTCGTGTGGAGTTGTTTCTCTAGGACATCCACCTGCGCCTCCCTCAGGGCCACCTGAGAGAAAGCACTCTCGAAGCAGGTGCAGGGTGATGAGTGTTTGCATGATGTACATACTAACGATGGCCTCCTACCTACTAGCGATGGCCTCCCCCTAGTTCCTGTCTAAATTAGCTTGAAGGAGTTGCGGACAGAGGTCGTGCCTCTTCATTCTTTGACCCAAAGCTTGCGTGGTGATGGCGTGTTGGGGGTGGATTTGTGGACTTCGGTGCAGCTGGGCAAGGGGCAATCTACAAGAGACAGATGAACAGTGTTTGGTAGGTAGAGAATCCTGCAAACTCCTGGACCGTCTTTGAGTCGAACTTTCCAGAACTTTCTTTGGTTCTTCTTATCCCCACGTTAGGAGAAGACGACGTGTCGGAGGCTCAGGGTGTTTGAGCCCGTCCAGGTGGACTAGCCTTGAAACTTTTGGATGTTCAAAGTTATCAAGAACGGAATTGCCTTTCTGGCCTTTTGGAGATTCTTGGGTAGCACAACAGCATTGCAGCCATTCAGAACAATAGGATTAGGATGTAAAAGACAGTTGCTTCGTTTTGAGCCATTTAGCTCAGGACAAAGAGACGGCCGCGTCGCAGGTGGCAGGATCAGCTTGGAGCCCTGAAGAATGGTAAGTTGCATTTCCAGTTTTGCAGTCGAGTCTGGCAGAGGGTTGGTGCCGGTGCGGTTTTTTAGGATATCAGGAGTCTGCAAGTCCTACCTAGCCCAGGCCGAGGGGGGCCGAGGCCCCATCGCATCTTTTAAAGAATCGAAGAACGTGGTCTCGCCGAGAAAACTGCTGCGATGTCCCAGGTGTCAGCCATGGCTGCAGAGGCCGAACTTGCAGGTTTTTTGACATCGGCGGTAGCGGCGCTAGCGGTTTATTTTCTTGCAGGACAGAGATCCAGTACAGAAATCAAACAGTTGCCTGCATATTTCGCAGTCCAAGAACTAAACAGGGAGAGCTTTCCAAAAGTAGTTATTCCTCTTCTGTGGAAGGTTTGCATTTCGCAGTCCAGGCAGGCTCTGTCTTTGCCTCCAGGCCACCAGCGATCCGAAGCTACAAGAGCTGATCGTGAAGGGAGAAGAGCTGATCCAACGTGGTCAGGAGTTGCTCAGGGCAAGGCATCAAATTGTACCGTGGGTGGTATGGTAGTGAAGACATGTGAAGAGAATCCAATGGCAAGAGCTTGCATCGCAGCTTTTGCTTCTCAATCCTTTTCTTCCTTAAGAGTCTTGAGAATCTCAACGCTTTTCACAAGGTTTCAGACAAGCCAACCGGTGGGTGGCAGGAGTTGAAAGACCGCGGTGATCGCCATGGAGCGTATGTGTTGGGCTCAGGTTTCAACTTCCCAGCTGTCAAGGTGAGTAATTTCACTTGAGGAGATGGATAAACCCAGGTTGTGTTTTGTTCCCCACCTGTCAGGTGAGGGTTGTTAGATTTTATGTCAGCTGCCGTCCTCCTTTTCCTCCTCCGCCTCGTCCTCCTCCTCCGGACCTCAACCGCAAGTGCAGGATGGCGGTGTTCCCCGCCGGACCTCAACCGCGAGCTTCCTCAACCGCGAGTCAGAAGGTATGCCAGATGGAACGCCAGAAAGAATGTCAGAAGATATGCAGAAAATATGCCAGATAGAAGAATGTCAGAAAGAATGCCGAAAGATATGCCAGAAAGAATGTCAGATGAAAGCATGTCAAAAAATATGCCAGAAAAAGTGCCAGAAAGCGTGTCAGAACAGATGCCAGAACGAACGCCAACAAAACGTTTCAATACATGCCAGAAGAGCGGTCAGATTGAAATGTTTGTCATGGTGGGGCTCATTCGAAGTAAAGAGAAGTAGTTTCGTTTTTTAGTGGGTAGTTAACCTATTCTTGTGCCCAGAAAGCCAGACAAGTGCCGCATTCAGCTGTTATCCACGCACCTACACACTGCTTTACAAGTGGTGAAATACTTCTCAAAGACGACTTACGACGCAGAGTCATTTTGTGACGCATACGACACAGCGGATCCACATACACAATGGTCCACAAAAAAAAATCATCGCATCTTCAGCCTGTCCCTCAGAAATGCCCATGTGGAGATGTAGAGAATGGATGAAATTTGTACAGGGGGAGAATTAAACTTTAGAAGTGTCGCTTGACTGCCATTTGTTGGCAAAACGGCATGCAAGCGTTATACCGAAGGCTGGCTTGATCTGGCTTGCAGATCCAAATCTTCTCCTTCATTCTGAAGTTTGTGATGAGTCCCACAAGGGAATTTTGAGTTTTTTGAAGGAGATGCACAAACGTCCGTTTTCTGTGCGCTCTACACTTTGAGTTTGTGTTGGCTCGCAGCTGAGGAAAAGTTCTACCAGGGCCTGCAGTACAGCCCCCAAGAAGCTTTGCTGATTGTATGAAAGCTCATCGGATCTCATCGGCCCTGCCACAAACCTGTGACTTGTTGGCTTTGATCAAGAACCCCAAGAGCAATTTCTGTCTTGAAATCTTAATAGCGATGGCCTCCCACCTAGTGGATCGCTACAACAGCATGTCATGGACAAATTCAAACCTTTCCAGCAGGTACTTGCTGAAGGTGATGCCTGGCCTAGGCGTGTTTGAGCCCCGAGCAAGTACATAGATATGAGCGGCACGAAGAAGTACGAAAAAATCCCAGGTAAGGAAGGAGTGAGTCATCGCACTTCTTGCGCAGCACCAGGAAGTTAATGACCCAGCATAAGAAGGGATGGCCAAAGGGGCTCTATGTGTGAGGGTTTTTGATATATTGGTCTAAGTATTTATGGGATTGTTATGATTGTTACGGGTTCACCTTCACATGCGACTTCAATGTTGTAAGTGTTCACTTAGAACAACAATTTGTTTTAATTTTTTTCAAAGTTTTGTTCTAAGTATTTGTCCATCACTATTTACCCAAGTCACGTGGTCATGCGATGCTTTTGGGTCATCCTCATGGTCTTTTGCAGGTGATGCCAATGCCCCTCCGGTGCTGGCCTTGAAGTCCAAGATCCACGGCTACTTGGATGAGGCGATCAGACCGATCGGACCGATCGGAGAGACGTTTGGAATCGGTTTCGAACACGAAAAGACACGAGACGGCAGTCAGGAAAGCAAGGATGAACGATGGTGAAAGCTGAACGCAAAAAGACACGATGGCCGACAGCTGCACAGTTCAAACACATCTTTTTTGGCCGCTTCGATGCCTGCCGGATCAGACCGAGAAGCTGAAAAAGTCCTTGGACTCTACAAAACAGGCGGGAGGACTGTCGAAAAACTTGACGCTGGTTTCCCGGTTTCCCTACACTTTCATTGTTACTCCGATGCGATAGGAACCGAAAAAAAATCGAGATCGGAGTAGTCAGTTTACTTGTGCTGAGGATTAGTTAATGGCCGTTGTGTGACATTTGAAGGCTTGAGTTTAATGTACGCTACTGTAGCCATCCAAAGTTTACCATCAATGAATCAATCAGCTTGCTCCCGCAAAAAGTATGGGACACCAACGTGGAGAATTCAATTTTGCTGGTTAGGCCGTTTCAAACAGGCAATCAGTTAAATTCATTAGCCAGTAAATTTGTCACAGCAGAAGATGATCGGGAAACATCATGGTGCTATGGTCATTCGGTATAAGTCGTGCCATGGAAACTGAGTGTCATGCAACTTTCATTCCAAAACAGAGCAAGCTAAGAGCCGCCAAGAATGGCACGGATGCCGAACATCAGTGGGTTTCAGGCCAAACGACTGCAAGTAAGAACTTGGAGATACGGACAAGGCCCCTTGACTTCTTGGACTGGACATGGAACGCCGATGACGTTCTCGAGACGGTTGTTCACTTGAGGGCTTGAAGGAAGACCTCAGCGTTGAGGCCCGAATCGAGTGGGGAGCCCAGGGGAGCTGGCCGACTGGCCGAACTTCCACCATTGGATGTCGATTTAACGCACCAGATAGTTATAGAGTTATATCTATAATTTAATATATATATATATATCAAGGTGAACTCAATGCACAAAAACCTGTATATTTCGGCAAGATACCCCAAACAGTGTTCAGTAGAGCAAAAGCAGTGTGTGCAACTTGCTGGAGCAGCCTCTTTCCCTTCCCGTGCACATGGCTGGCACTAAGCTGCAGGTGTCATAGCTTGGCGGTTAATGAGAGCAAGCACATGAGAGCATACATATGAGATCACAAATATGAGAGCACAATATATGAGAGCCCATCGCACAATCCGAATCTCGAGGCAAAAACGGTACAAGTACCTGGTTTTCGTTTTGTTCCTTGTGGCTCTGTTGTTTGCGTTGTCATGTCGTCGTTTCTGTTTGACTTTCTGAATCTTCCACTTGAGAACAGATCCTTTCTGGAACATGTCTTCATGACTCAAGCGGAAACAAATTGTCAACATCACAGCCATTGCAGTGCATCCTCGTGACACCTTTTTCGGGCCAGACCCGAGACCCAGGCGTGGGGAAACATTGATGTCAAATGGCCAGCGCCTTGAAAAGAGCGGCAAGCTTGAGGAGGCGCACGTGGACATCGGTGACATCGGGAAGGGCCGAATTTGGGACTTGGAGGCTTCTCTTGTCTCCCATTTGCCTTTCTAGTAATATGCGCGCAGAGAAAGGCTTCTTCAAAAAGAATCAAGCCAACAAGACGGAGAGATGAAATTTTTGTTTTGATAATTGCAGCAAAACAGTCTGTTTGTGTCTGCGTGGAAAAGTGTCTATCATACAACTATATATTATATAACCATGTAACACACATTTATATATATATATAATGTATTTGTCTACATATATATATATATACATACACATGTAGAGCATGCAATGGCAAGCTTTCGGGCCGCAGGCCGTACTTTCTTAACAAACACACCTTGTAGCACAAGGGCGCACGATCTCAGTGCTTGACGGGCCGGACAGCCATTTGCCATTTCCCTGCCCAGCTGCCTGGTCAAGGCCTATGACAAGTACTGCACAGGATTGAAAATCTTGCTTGAGGTTGGCTTCTCAGTCCTATCTGCAATGTGCGGTGAGCCCTGCTGGTTAGCTTGCTGATCTTTAGCTGTGAGGATATTTGGGTGATAGAAAGTGCTTGGAGAATTGGATGAATCAGGGAACCCTTGTTGGCTTGTCCCCAGAAAGTCCAAGACCAAGAGCACCAGAAGCAGCCTCGGTTGACTTTGCTTTGGATGTGGCCACAGACACGAAAGTACCGCTGACCAAAAGGATGAACAGAACGCATGGATACGCATGGTGCGTGTCTTTCGGAGCTTGGCGTTACCGGCCGTAGCCGGCGTCTCTCTGCACTTGCGGCTTGATGTGATGCCGTCGACTCGAGGTGATGCCACAGTTGCGAGAGGACCGAAGATCACCAACCGATCCAAAGACCGGTAAAATCAAGACCGGCACTCTTTTTTTCCACGAGCTGCGGCAAAATGTATCGTTTGGCCACAGGAAGATGCTGTGGCATCCCGCCTGAGATCCAAGATTAGTGGATACCTGGAAGAGGCGAGGAAAGCATTCGGAACCTGACGGAATTGCAGGGAGTTTCTATCTGACTGGCTGCACATTGCTGCTTGCTTAAGGATACTTTTCCATGTGTGTGTGTTTTTTTAACCCCGGGACATCCTGGGACAAAGCGAAGAAGAGCCAGATGGCTTCACAATAATTGCCACATACGTATGAGGACCAGGTGTCGCCCCAGTCAACACGCCGACACACACACACACACAGAGCTTCCTGAGAGTCATGCATGCCCCTCCTGTGTTTGTCAGGCGGAGCGCCTCAAAGAACGGCGTGATGGTGCAGGTGCTCAGTAAGTCCTAGTAGCGGAAAGTGGAACCTTGAACACCATGAATAATCCGAAATAAGATAAGAGCACCAGAATACCCTGCTTGATTCGTTTTGGACTGAACAATATGCAGAAATGCTGACAGACCTGGAGATGGTGGTAGATGCATTCCCATGCATTCTGATACTGTATATTCTGGTCAAGTCTCGAAGTCTGAGACTCTTAACTGTCTGGGAGGCGCTCCGGACGAGAACGGCCAGGAGTGGGGTCTCGTATCCGAGAGGGTGCCAGTCTTTAAGTTTTTCGCGCTACTAGTAACAAGGGCATTTCTACTATATAGTAGAAAGAAGCTACTAGTAGCGACGACCTTGTTATATACTAGTAGCGATGCCCTTGTTCCTAGTAGCGAACCTTGTTACTACTAGTAAGGCACCTGTTACTACTAGCGTGGCACTTGTTCCTAGTAGCGAACCTTCAAGTCACATCGAGTCACATCCAGTCGAACCTTGGAAGCGATGGACAACGGATTAGCCAGGGTCGCCGACGGCGGCGACGCTCCAAAGGCAGGGCTTCAGGCACTGGGATCCGTTTTGATACATATTTTTCAAGCATTGGGTTAGATTGGCCGTGTCACTGAAGCAAGGATGCAGCATGAATCAGCGTTCGAAGTCCTTTGGTCAATTGAGTCCAATGTACGAAACGTGGTGATAGGCACACCCTAGGTGCACCCCAAAGTTGTTGGGTGTTGTCTCCAAGAGTTGTTATGAGACTCAGATGCAGACCTGCTTTTTTTTAGCCCGAGACGGTCTCATCCCCGGAACGCTGCAGAACCTGCTGGGGTGCCACCCCGGAGCCGTGCAGAAGAGAGTGAAGGCTTTGACTGGGCAACTTCCGGGTTTCGCCACAGTCTGAACGTGCGAACGGAACATGCATGGCGCTGCGAACCGGCAGGTGAAACGTTTATGGTGTACATGCTCTACTATGTACTCAATTCTGGCTTAATGCGGTTTACCAGTCTTTACTTCTTTCACCTCCTAGTTTCTAGCCTGTCCGTTTGCTTTGCAGTCGCTTGCATACTCAGTCGCTGACTTGGACTCTTGTTTGCTTTGGTCTGCTTCAGTGTACATTCAGTACATCTGGTTGGGCAAATGTCTTTCCCTTCGACACACACACACACACGCACACATTCTCTTCCGCTGTATTGACTTGGTATTTCAGGCTTTGCTGCATAGGATTTCAATGAAACTTATGGTGCAACGGGCAATTTTGATGGTGATGCTGAGAGGGACACAATGAACACTGCTCATCACCACGGGATTCACGATTCTCCAAGCCTCTTGCAGGCTCAGATCCGAGGCGCGGTGCTGCGGAGCTGGGTTTCATGGTGCTTAGACCGAAGGCGGAATGCTGATCACAAGTACCATCAAGTACCAAATGATCTGCAAACTAACATGTCAACCCACATTAACTGCCCAGAAAGATAAGAGAAGTCGAATCGCAAGAGAGTTGGTGGTAGGTTGGAACGCGTTTTCGATTCTGAAAAGGGATGACAAGGGGTCAACCCACCTGGCCGAAGCGTTTCGATACAAAGACAGGATAAGGAAGGGATGGCCCCGATGGGCTTGATCGACTGTTCAGAAGGGCCAACTTATTCAACTCCGCAGAGCTTCAGAAAAAACCCCGGATGAATCGATATGAATCGATGAAAGATCCGCATCGACTACAGGAGCCGCAAGGGAGGGCGTTTCCACCTGCGCACTGCCGCGGAAGTGGACCGTCAAGGCCACGTCGAATGAGCTGACCAAAGATGCAACCGGTGTTTTGCGGTGTTGCAACTTGCAAGTTTAGAAAGTACTTGGTATGCTCTTAAGTGCTAATTGGACTTTGTTTGCTTGGCTTAAATTGAATGCCCGTGCTGTCAGCTGGGTGCTTCTTTTTTTCGGCCACTGAAACGGCCTGTGCCTTGCGACCTTGAGAACCGACTGCCCAGCTGGCTCAACTTACAGACAGGTGCAGAATCCGCATGGGAGCTGTGAGAGTAAGAGCGATGGCCTCCAACCTAATAGCAATGGCTTCCCCCCCTAGTAAGACCGGAGGCTAAACGAAACTGAGGAAACAACTGTTGACTTGTGCCATGCATTTGTGGCGAACCCAAACACGTGTCGACGCAGATTTTCATGGTCACTTTGTCTCACAGCTAGCTTGAATGTTTCTACAGCCACGCGCACACCTATCGAAGCACACCTGCGGCAAACAGAAGGAAGACCCACTAGCTTTCTCTTTTCCCACTATGCTGCCATGTCTGCACCATGGCCTCGGCTGATCTGGCAATTCTTTGGGCGACGTTTTCGCCATGCTCCGTTTCTGCAATCACAGGGCGGTAGCCTAGCTGCCTGCACGTTTCGGTCACGGGACAAATAAGATCGGACCGGACTGGTCGCAAATCCAAATGGTATCTTCCAAGAATTTGCAACTTTGCAGATCGTGATGTGTGGCCACCTTGATGTCATTGAGGCCTTTATCCCACTGTCACCATGTCAATGCAGCCTGGGAACACATTCTTGAATGTGTAAGTTGCATGTGGACAATGAAAGGAGATGCTTCTTCGTGCTTCTTGTCCAGTTTGAAGAACTCAGGTTTGCTGGACCTCTCTTCCTTGTCCGCCCTGTGGTGCGCTTGTTGGGACATGGCCAGCTTGTCCAAAAGCCAGGCCCTTCCTCTAGGGCCACCCGCTTTCCACTAGGGGTCGCGGGTACCGGATAGTGCCCTCCAAGAAAGAAGGCTTCCAAGACGACGTACTTTGTATATCTTTGTATTTTAATGTACTAACTTTAGTAAATTGTTAGAACATGTTAGAACATCCGATGCTAGATGCCACGGGATGCCGCTGCTCACGAAGCTAGTGAGGTATTGAGTGTTTTTCTCACTGTGCTTGGGGACCCATGCATAACATGAGCCTAGCTTCACTGGAAGCAGATTACACCCGTCACACATCCTCGACACCGGCAGGAGGCAGGCGATGCCTTGCGGCTTCGTTTGGCGGCTCCACACGTGGCTGGCAACGGCTTGACCGTGCTCAGCATGGCACGAAGTCTTGAGAGCCCGGGCAAAATACGCAGGTTTTTTCGCCATAACACGCTTTCCATGGCCAAGGGAAAGAACGAGCCCATTGGCAAATTGGACCTCCTACATCTTTTGAGTGTACTTGTTCAACTTGAGGTCTCTATTTGCTCCACGCAGGATTGCCACCAATGCACTTCCTGTTTGTCTTTCTTGCCAACGACTGTAACCATTTCATTACCCTTGCCATCCTTACTGCCTTACGGCTCCTGCCAATGAGGTACCAATGGCAAGGATCATGCGCCCTCATGGCCACTCCTAGTTTGCAAAAGAATGCAACCTAATAGCGATGGCCTCCAACCAAATACAACTCTATTATATCTATTATACTCTATTGAAGCCCAGAGTTCCAGTAAGATCCCCAAAGCTGCCACAACTCAAGCAAACAGTTAAAGCTCCACAAAGGCATCCAGTTTTCCATTCCGACGCCTGACCATCCCTTTATGATCCTGTGAATGAGAAGCTTCAAGCATCAGCAATTCAGGACCCCACCACTGTGCCAGTCTTACTTGCAAAATGCATGGAGGATGGTATAGTTCCAAAGCTCAAGTCTAAGTGATGCCCGCTCAGAAGGCTGCTCGGAAAGAATTCAAATACACACTCCAGCAGCTAGCAACAATTCAGCTATGTCAAAACCTCGGCAGAGAGCCAAATTGGGCCTGCTTCGCCTGCTGCTGAGTGTGCATGTTCAAAACATTTTCCCACTTCGTTCTGGAGCACCGCATCTCGCCGATCATGTCAGCCTCTTGCGGCAATGCACAAATCTGTCAGTCATAACTACATAAAATACATGAACACAGAGACTCAGATAGACTTAATGTTTAAGACTTCACGCTGTGTCATGCCTAACAATTCCTGCTGGCGGCAGAGGTTTCAAAAGGCTTCCTCGGCATTGGTTAACTTGCACGGACATTGACCCCCTTTGTATATAAATTCTATTTGCAAGTCTTTCTGACATCATCAAGCAGATGAACACACCAGCTTCCGCGAAGTCAGCGAAGGGAAGGTGCTTTGTGGGCCTTTATTTTTTTTTCTGAAACCTTGCCCATGCAAACAATTTCCGGGACATTCTCTGCATGTATCCTCAACCTTTCCAACCACCTGCATCCAAAATGCACAGCAAAGCTCAACCCTCAATGAACCCTGACCCTGCCGGCAGCTACATTTGCATATGGCGACAGGATGCCAAACCAAACTTCGCAAGCACCAAAACACTTTTCATCATCGAGACAGAGCCAACAGGATTTGGTACCCTTATGCATGTGCCTCGTGTATTTGCCTACACACACACACAGTCATAGTGGAATGCAGAACACATAACCTCTGATTGATCAACATGTTCCGAGGAAGCTTCGCTGCCGCTTTCTGGACAGACTGATGGATGTTGCTCTCAATGTCCTCAGTTGTCGGCTGCTGGTATATCCTTGCTTTGTATTTTTCCACTTTTAATTAGGATGTTCTGTTCGGTAGCACATCCGCTCCATGCACCACTGCAGCGTCGAAGATTTCCGGACACCTGGACAGCTTGCCGGACTAATCCAGGATGCCTGGGATGGTGATGCTAAAATGCTGAACCTGAAGGCTCTGCCTAATGGGTCTGAACATTTGCAGATGTTTCATTCATGTAGTTTTGCATAACGATTCCTCACTTTCACCCATGGCATGTGTCATAGTGAGGCACAGTGCATTCAATTGCAAGACTGCGCGAACTTCTTCTACTGTAGGGTCTTCTTCAGGCAATCTTTGCGCTGCGCCGACGCTTTCCGGAGGCGTCATCTGGCAGAATTGGCAGTGGTGGCAGAATTTCCATGTCAAAGCAGGGCCATGTATACTATCTTTGTCATGTCTTTTTTTTGCTGAAGCTGCTGAAGCTAAGTAAGTAAGGTAGGCCGTGAGGTGACCGAATAAGAGTAATTAGGTATATATATATATAGTAGCTTAAGTAGTAGGACACCCTCTCATCTCAAGCTTCTTCAACAAAGCTCTCTCCAGCTGGCTGGGCTGGAAAAGAGCTTCAATGAAGAAGATTTCGCATGACTGATTTGACCTCTAACTCCCCCCCCGTTTGGGGGTCTCTCTTTCTTCGCACTTCCAAGGCAGCTGTTTCTTTGGCAGACGTCCTTTTCTTCCGATGCCTTCCATGGCTTGTGCGAACCCTTGGCCTCCGTCAATGCTTCGCCTCCAGCAATTCTCAGGACTGGACAGATTGGACACATGGCCTCCACACAGATTGGCCCATGGAGTCAGTGCTCAGCGACACAGGATTGGCTCAGTGACCTTGACCTTGCACCTTCGCCTCTTCACTGTCTCGGAGCGGGATGTGGGAACTTCAAAGGTCTTAAGCTGACAAAGGACAAAGGGGAGCCACTTCTGAACCACCGAAGCACGGAGACTTACCCTTGAGAATCTGAGTGAACTGGTTGATTGGTTGAACGGCTTGATTGGTTGAACTGGTTGACGTTGGCACTTTAAGCGCACTTTTCTGAGACTCTGGGATTGAATCCGAGAGGAAACATGCCAGAGACCTTGAATTGAGACACATTGAGACCCGAGATGCCTTGAATTTTGAAGGAGAGCTATTTTGACCCAGCACGTCCCTTGCGCCGCTTGCTGCCCAAAGCTCAATCAGACAAGCACGTGTATCATTGATGTACTTGCTGCAACTGACTTATTTGGGCTATATATTCTGGTTTGCGGCATGCACTAACTATGATAAAATATGAATAGATATAACAAGTTGAGTGTACACAGAGGAAAGTTTCTCCATTGCCCTACAGCCCTACAGCCATGCCTTTCAAAGGTCCTTTATGGTGAGCATGGTCACAAAGACTGCAGGTTGAAGTTGGATCTTCAGACTCAACAAGGTGCCATCTTGTGGCCCGCGGGCGCCCCCGGACCGTCCGGGGCCTAGAGGTAAGGGGAGGAGCGAGGCAGCCCTACAGCCCCATTGTTTATGATCTTTCTTTTATCATTCTGTGTTTTATTGTATGTTTATCAAAATGGTGTAAACACATACAATTCCATAAAATTTACAGTCAGAGTCACACGGTGGGTCATTTGCGTCGCTTCGATACATTGCTGGACCTGCTGATGGTGAAGTTCTTCCAGCCATCCTGGTAGCCCACTGCTGGATCCATGGCAAGGATGTATAACACAATTGCTATGATTTGCAACACATTTTGTTGGCATCCATCAACGAATCAAAACGTAAAATGTTTAAAACACGTTCCCAACGCTTTGCTATGGCAAGTGCACTCAAAAACTCTGGCTGCTCAGCAATGCTTCCACAGCGTCCACCTGCCAGAGGCCAGAATCTCGACATCTTTGTGGCGAGGGTCATCGATGGGCTTCTTGGTCGAGGTGTTACTTTTGGATCCGGTACAATCATTTTTTGAATAACTAGGTCCACCGCCCGCATCATCGAAAAGCCGAATATTATCTAATGAAAAGGATGACAATGTTCTCCACATGACATTCATGTCATCATTCGACCCGATCTCCCCGTAAGGCCCCCCACCCCCGCACACCCAGCCCATTTTAATGTATTTAATCGATGACAACATGCATCATACACCAATGACAATGTTGTGAAGCCGAAGATTCTGTAGTGAAATCGACGACCATGTTCTCCACACAGATGTCAGAACATGTCGGAAAATGGTGCAAAACACCACGGGCTGCTGCGGGCGGTGGGCCAACTACTTGCCTTTTTGAGGGAGATAGGCTGTGGAAATTGTAGTAAGATAGCTCATAGCGAAGAGAAGCTACAGCTACTAGTCGTACAACGAACGCAGAAGCACCCTTTGCATCGTTTGGACGCTTCCTAGTACTAGTAGATTTGGAGGGTCATCTAGTGTACTATAGCGTATGGTCGGAGGAATCAACGCTGTGCCGCTCCGTGCACGATGCTTCGGTCGACCGAGGCCTGCGTTTGTTGTGCCGCGGAGCTTGGAGTCGAGGCCGAACCGCTGTTCTGCAGCCTCAAGGAATGAACCTCGATTGCAAGCAGGGGTTGGCATTGTCACCCCACTCGATTTTTCAGCCGGCAGGCCTGGAACACCTAAGTTTGGGAGCCAGTTCTAGGTCAAGAAAAAACTGCAACAACTCCTCATAAAGTATAGCTGGCACCAGACTAGACAACGCCCTCAGTATTGACCCGACCGGACCCGTCTGGGTCATTTGGGCGCAGGCAACAACGCTACCAAATGTTAGTTTTAACTTCAGACTTTGAGTCTGCTACAACTGACCAGAGAATCCTCGACCGACGCTGAAGAACTCAAACGCTGCAAGATGCCAACGCCAAAGATGCACAAAGCAGTTGAAATAGCTTTGAGCATGCAACCTTAGAAGTGGTGCGAAAGTTTGTCGGAGGCTGGTGCTGCGAAGGATGCGGTAAGGCAGCACAAACTGAACATGCTATCAATCTCGCAGCTCAACATAGAAAAGGCACCTGCATCGGCCGTGCATTTGTCAGAGTGGGCCGCGGTGTCAGTGCACCACGCCGCTACTTCGAAGTGGTCTCGCTGGGATCACTGTTGGAGAACACGGCACAACGGGCAGAATGTGAGGAAGACACCGAGGGCAGCGAAGAGGTAGGCAGAATGAAGAGCGAAACATGTTCTCTTCGGGCCTAGGCTTCCTTTTGAGGAGGCCATCCCTCTCAGGTGGGAGGCCATCGCTATCAGGTTGCAGGCCATCGCTCTTAGGTTGCATGCCATCGTTATTGGGTTGGAGGCCATCGCTATTAGGTGCCGAGGAAGAGTCAAACATGTTCTCTTCGGGCCTAGGCGTCTTTTTTTGATCACTCTTCAGCTGTTAGTCTTTAAGGCAAAAATCGCTCCTGTGTTGTTGGACTGGCCGACTTGTGTGGCGCAAGATGGGATCATTTGCGTCAGGTCAGGTTCTTTCCATGTTTCTTATTTGCTGGGCTTCTGTGGTTTCATGAGTGTCTTCTTTTGTTGTGGTAACCTAACATGTTCTTGACTTCAATACAGGTAGCACCACTTAGCAAATGTGATCATTGTTTTTGATTCATGAGGACTATGTTTTGACAAGGTAAGCGGCTCATGTCATGCAACAATCATGAACAGCACTCTACAGAGACAGCCCAATCAGTGGCTGACCTTTAAGATCCTTTAAGCATCTTTGTTGCGGCTTGCTTTCCCCACATGACAGATTCTGACAGATAGATGGACAGAGGATGGTAAAACTTCACTTTCAGAATCTGATATCAATTGAATTGAGCGAAGATGTCTCGTCTGGTTTTCGGCTGGCCTTGGTTTTCTGCTACGGCACCCAGGATTTCTCGGTGTCGGCAGTATCTGCCCAGGTTTCCTACGCCCTGCTTGGCGAGATCCACGAGTTTTGCTGCACAAGGAGCGACCTTTAGTGCACAGGCAGGCACTGATAATGATGCATTGCTCTGCAGTCGAATTGCTTCCTCTGGTGGGTATAGGCACAGAAGTTGGAAGCAAGGTGCGGAGGTTTGTCATGAAATTGAACTAACGCCTTTCGCAGATTTGGGGACTTCATCGCCTCAGTGCTTTCGATTCGATGTGGGATAGATCGATTTTCCGGAGATTGCGCCGACCTTTTTCAGCATTGCAACATATTGAAACTACTTGAAACCATAACTATAACCACTTCGGGCCACCTGTGCCAGGTGTCAAGAGCTCAATGGTGAGCTCTTACTTCCCTCGGGCCCCTTGCGGGTGGCATTGGCCGTGTACCGCGCGGACGACGACGAGGGGCCGGATGATCCGTGAGCTTCGATGACCTCAGTGAACGGAGCGTCGAGCAACGGGCAAAAGGAAGAACCTTCTTGAATCTTGCACAAGTTGTGTTTTGAGTGTTTCACAAGTTGTTTCACAAGGTGTTTCACAAGGTGTTTCACAAGTCTCTCACAACACTTTTGAGACTTGTTTTGAGACTTGTCTTGATTCAAGAGTGTGGTGAGTGTTGCTGGCAACTGGCGATTGCTTCTGAGAGTGACTGTTTTCATCTGTTTCCTATCCCTGATATGTTAGGTGATGCTCCTATTGCCTTCTTTCAGGTTCCTCCATTGCCCAACAGATCGATTTGCACGTTCGTGGCGCTTCGTTGCGCCAGCCAGGCTTGCGGAGTGTGGCATCCCCTGCGACCTTGGAAGGGAGGGAGGGAGAGGGAGGGTGGGAAAAGGAGAGAGAGAGAGAGAGAGAGAGGGAGAGAGAGAAAGAGCGCCACAGTGTTTGCAAAAAGAGACCACCATGGAAGGCAGAACGTGTCTGGGAGAAGCAACCAAAAATCCATCTTGTCAATGAGACCGTGACTAAAGTCGTGAGTAAATACCTATAGTATCCTATTATAGTGATAAACATGGATAGATGGTAGACATATAAATAGTAAAATAAGTATAAACAGTCACGCAATTCGTGCCTTCACCATCACTTTTGCCAGGGCCGAACAGCGCGATCGCCTGTGCGCTCTCCCCGGGGCGAGCCGCGGTCGCCGCTGCGCTCGCCACGGGGCGGCGACCGCGGCTCGCCGCCACCGCCTCCTGGAGATTGGCGAGGAGGGTTGGGAGTGGTGGGCTGACGGAATGCGTTGATTTGTGAAGGTACTTCACTCAGGGAGTCTTCCATTAATTGTAATTACATACCGGAGCCCACTGTTCAGGACGCGGTCCGGAACCACCAGCGCCGCCACCACCGCTTTAAACTCAGAGATTTGCCTTTAAGGACTTACTCAAAAGACAAGAGTCGTTGGTTGGCATGCTTGCCTGTGGTGCAAGTGCCAACAATTGCTGGTTGGTGCACTGATCAGTGTTTGTCAAGTCTCTTTAAACTAAGTTAGTACCTCGAGCAACTAACTTAGTAAAGTGGACTTTCCTCTAATTCGTTGGTTAGTGAGAATCCATCCATATTGCCTGTTTTTCTGCCCACAAGAACGAAGCATCCGATGGGAGCCACCGATCCGCTAAGGCGTTCGCGGAGGGCTGATTCGACGTTGGAACATCGAAGGCTGCTCACAGCCGTTCCATGTTTGTTTGTCGATTTGTCAAAGATGGACTAGCTTTTTGTTACTACTAGCGTGGCACCTGTTACTACTAGCGTGGCACTTGTTCCTACTAGCTTTTTGTTACCTGGACCTGGACCGGATGGATGGACATGTTGAGTACTTTGCGGCTCGACCTCTTCCTGGAGCCAAGTTGAGGGCATGGAGCCCACGTTTTTGGTCGGACGTCCTTCGGACTCAGCAGCATCCCGCGACTGCGCGGACGCCCGAAGAGCCAGGCGTTCTTCTCGGAGCAGGTCACGTGATGTGGCCTTGTTGCACAGATGGTCGGTGCAGGTCGTTGTGGGTTGGTGTATCTCATATGGTTCTTTTCCTTATTTTGTCTTTCTTTCTTTCTGTAGATTTCCTTTAGATCTCCGTTTTCTGTAGACTTTTTCCATTTTTTCCGTGGACCTTTTATTGCTGTAGACCGTGGTGACTGTAGACCAGTTCTTTTCTTTTTCTCTTTGGACCGCTCTTTGTTTTGATTGCATCTCGTGTTGATCTCATATTGTGGGACACTTCCTTACTGGAGGGGGTTTGGCCAGGGTACTGACGCATCTGACACAAAGCTGTGAACAAGTCGTGACAGATATCGGGAAAAGATGCAATGCAGTGCAGCAAAGTTTTTGCAGTTTATCGTTCACGCTTTAAGCCCGGGAAAGGACTCAAAAGGCTTGTTGACGCCTGCAGCAAGCTTGTGAGATGCTCTTTTGGGGCCTGGGCGATGTGATCTTTTTCTCCACCGGTTGAGCCCCTAGTAGCTTCTTGTTACTAGTAGTATGGCCAGGAGCCCCTAGTAGCGTCCTTGCTCCTAGTAGTAAGGCCAGGAACCCCTAGTAGCTTCTTGTTACTAGTTAAGTTTCCCTAAAAATCTAGAAACCAAGTCATTAGTGCGAGCGCTTCTGCAAGGAAGCTCCCCTCGCCCTCAGGCGGGGGGGGCTTCCTTGAAGAAGTCCTGCGTCCTAGGTAGGAGCGTAATTACTTGTGGCTAGTAGTAGCTTGCTTGATCAAGTAGGCAGTCTCTACTTAATTAAGTAGGGGGGGAGGGGAGAGCGAGCGGGCTTAAAGACAAAACAGTTGGCAATCCTGTCGCTGAGGACATGTGTCGGCCCAAAAGTGCAGGGCCACGAATGCCCCTCTTGCGACCCAAGAGTGCGGCCAAACCGGGCCTACGCTACTGATGGCAGCTGCCAGCGGGATCCGGCGGCACGGTGATTCTGCGATCGCTTTCCACAAACCCAAAACGGCTCGAACATTGATGTCCCATGATTTCCCAAGTAGCTTCTAAAGCAGCGGGCCTAGAAGCCACGATCGAATCACTTTCTCTTAGGGCTCGGGCGCCTATGACGACGCATCATTACATCAACCATGCAGAAACTTTTTCAGAGGAATGTTGTGAATCTGACATGTTGCTAGTTGATCAAGTCAGGCTGACTGAGCTGAAAGGATTCTACATAAAGATGGCCTTCACATCCGGCCACAGACTGGTCAGTGGCAGGTGACAAAAGCAAGGGCAGAACATTCAGCCTCCTGATGAATGTAATCGCTGAACGTACCAGCATGCTTTTCCTGCCTGGCTGGGACCTCGAACCAATGCAAACTCAACAGCGAGTGAGTACCCATTAATTGCGAAAAGCCGGTGCTTGTGCTACTGGTAATGTGGCGGCAACCCGCATCAACATGGCGCTGTGTTTGGTTTCGCCTACCTCGCGATTAATCATTGCTGTGGTTGTGATCCTTGAGAGCCTTGCGCTTATGTATGTATCAAGTCAAGCTAGGAATCAAGGAGCAGCACAGGAACTGTTGGGACACTGAAGCAGAAACATGCAGAAACAGATCAGCTGCATATTTGTACTTCAGCACCTTGAAGCACGCGTGAAGGAGCACTATATCGACTTCCAGAAGAAGCATAGTCGCAGCTTATGATGCTGGACTTGTTTGTGAGCAATAAACAGTACCTCAGTATCAAGCATATCATAGAGGCAGGTCATAGCGAGAGGGCTTTGAGATGGTCAGACCATCCTTTTGACTGCCACGCTGGAACAAGCCACTTGGCAGCAATTTGATTGAACCGGAATAGTTACGTAGCTGATCGAGATTTCGGTTTCAGCGCTGGTGTGTGATTTGTCCACTCGTTGGGAGTTTCGAGACATTGTCCAAGTCATGCCATTTCCAATCCAGTGAAACACAATCAGGACTGCTGGTCACTGCTGGACAGCTTAGAGTGATAAACCCGGACATCCTTTTTTCTGGTGCATGCTCTGAAGATTCACAGCTCTCCTGCGATGTATCCCAGATTCATAGGAACATTTTACATCATTTTACACTTCACATCAATTCGCCAAACTACTCGCAGGGTCACAGGGCTAAGCCTCGGCATTTGTCTCCGACATCGCCACCTCGCCTTCGTCACCGAAGCCGTGATCGTTTTTGTGTCGAGGTCTGAGCTCTTCGTCATGGGGCGAGGAGTGCGGGGAGACTCCGATTTGGAGAGAAAACCGTTGAACTTCAAACTAGACCTATGGCCCATGGCATCCTATGGCCTTTTTCGGTTGGTTGATTACTGTAATAGTGGGTATAACTGTATACAGTCACCCCCTTTTTCGTGAAACCAAGTGAACAACCAATATAGTTAGGTCGACCTATGATGGTCTGTGCAGAACCTGACATCGGCCCCTCAATTTCCATGATGAGGACATGACTGCTCCAAACAGGCAAACAGACCGAAGCATTGATCAATTGAAGGTCACCGGTCCGCAGAGGTCTTCCAGGTCTGGTCATGCTGAAACCAGGCATTCGCACGTAGAAAGGCCTCATACGGGGCCTACCCAGGTGACGCTGCTGTGGCCGATCCAAACATCCATGTCTCGACCAGGCAAGAATCCTCGTGTCTACCTAGACATTTCCATTGGCAGCCGAACAGGCCTGGGACAGTGGTGACCCAGTTGGTGACCCTTCAGGAATTACAAGCGCAGTACGCAGTATATCTTGAGAAATGGAAAGATGAAAGAAGTGCTTGGAGCATGTTTGAGCTAGATCACTTCAAGCCTCGAGCTTTTGCTCATCCAGGTGACTCATAGTTTCTTATATGTGGCAAAACTCTATAAAACTCTTAAGTCTAAATGACCCGCACTATTCCATGGTCACAGACTTTTCAGGGACCGGTTGGAGCACATCCAATGACGGAACCGAACCACCATCTTCCACCGTCTTCCTCTCCACCGAGTCGGGCCAGTTGGCCAGGCGGCCGGGTGATCATCGAGCTCTTCCCCGACATCACCCCAAGGGCTGCGGAGAACTTTCGTGGCCTATGTACGGGAGAATATGGCTGCGGCCTCACAGGGCAAGAACCAATTGGATGCTGTTTGTTGATTATTGTTGATTAGCAGAACATGATGTTTCTCGCGACACTTTGGTTTGGTAATGGTTTGGTTTGTTTTGCACACAGTTTTTGTTTGCTTCATGTTTTTTCCCGTGGGGCGATGAACACGAACGCACGAACGAACGGACGAGGCTTGGGCCGAAATACCAAGAAGCGGCTGAGCTATGAGGGCTGTCAGATCTTTCGCTCCGTTTGCAGACCAAGTGAGAGAGGAGCCATGAGAGGTGAGAGGTTTCCACCAGTTGTCCATGTTGTGCCAGCATTTCACATGGGATTGTCAGCCAGGTCTACACTGTTTTTCATGTCAGCCATTTTGAACTCTTAGGTTTGCGCCCCTGGTTAGGTTCT